AACTAAAGTACAAGTTTTAGGGGAAAACAAGAAAGGACCAAATGAAGCAAAGCAGAAAAATCTAAGATTTATAAGAACATTTAGAGACAGAGGAAATACCAAAGACTTGCAAGAAGTGGTATTGAAGATGGGAGAACAAACAGAAGTCTATGCACTGTCGCACTGCAGGGGATTTCTTACTAGTAATTGTTCAAGATGCTTACCTACCCAGAGCCTTGATTAGTATTTCGTAAGAAGAATCCTCTACCACATGGTGGTGTAGATGTGATACCTAAGTTTACAGCAAGGGATTTCAGAGAAATCTGTCCATGTAAGAAGTGGGCTGGTATGGCTGGTGGGCTAATTCAGTAGTAAAAATGTACAAACATTATTAAAAGACGGTGTTTGTAATTATATCCAAAACAGGGCTGAACATAAGGGGTGGCATTCAGCTGATTTACACAGTAAACATCTCCATACGAGCTAGTCACTAAAGTCTTTCCTCACCAATATAGAGAAAAAATTGTCTCTGTAGGTGCTTCTGACCCACCTGAGCTGTCTACTTTAAAACAACATGAGTTGTACACTAGAAGCACGTGTTCCTCTCTGTTAACTGTAAGGCTACTTCAGATTAAAATTTTGTTACACAGGACAAAACTTGCCAAAATGATGCAAGATGCAAATATGGTTTGGCCTGCCTATGATGTATGTAGTCCTCATGACAGCTTCAAAAGAACTGCTGTGTTTTGGAACAGATTATAGGCAAATTGCTATGTGACCTGCTCTTAAAGTTTTGAAGCAAGAAATGGTGAACAGGATACATGATGAGCACCTATATATGGGAAAAAATATAAAAGTTGTCAGCAAGATCTGCATTATATTGGCTTCAAATGAAAGCAGATATAGAAGAAAAACTCAAAGACTGTGAAATATTAAAAGAAATCAAAATCTATCAAACAAAACAGTCTGTGATGTTCATCTAAGAAACATTAGATTCATGGTCTAGCATAGTCATAAATTACTTCTCTCTTGGAAAAAATATGTATTGTTTTTCAAATACTGTCTTTAATACACCAAAATAGTATGATTAGAAAATATGAGTGTTAAACATGTGATTTCCAATAACAAGCACATTTATTTGCTAGAATAGCATATTAGTTGTGACAGTGACAAAAGAGCACTGCCATTTGGTGGTCTGGAACTTATGTGTATAACAAACTAATCAGGATTTTTGGCATAATATTGCAAATAGGTATAATGTAATGGGCTGTAAAAAATGCTGTAAAATGATAACAAGGATGATTCTAAAAAACTGAAGAACCAAATTCAGATCTTCATTTGGCATATCTGATTTACATTCTTGAAGTCTGGACTGCCACCTGCTGAAACACTGTTCAATAGGAATCTTAGGCTTAAGAAGACTCAATTTTCATTACTAAACTTTGACTTGCACCCTATTTCTTTCTTCTAACCCTTCATGCTCTATGTTCTGTGGATAGTATCATTATAACGATGAGTAAATTTGAGACTTTCTCCATCTCTGCTTCTTGATTTCCCAAGTGATATTAATCTCCCCTCTGCTCATCCCCCATGATTTCAGGAGTTTCTTTCCCTGTGATGTGTCTGTTATGATTTTACAGTCAGACCCAACCACTGGACCTACACTGTTGCCTCTAAAAGGTGAAATTAGACAGTATAGACTCAGCTATTGTCCTGTTGCTATCAGACAATATAGACTCAGCAACCGTCAAGCAAGTTAAGAGTCTTCAAGTTTGCAAGGCCACAATATGGGCATAAGCAGTAAGGTGAAGATGTACCTTGTTATCACCTTTGCTGAGCAAGAGGGATTGATGAATAAAACATGGCACTTGTGTATCATCTTCCATAGAAAGAGGACACAAGAAGAATTGCAGGTGTCGTAAACACCAAGATCCAAAACAGAAGAGGCTGCGGGAAAATCAGTGGGTTGTATAACATCAGTGGAGATTAAAATTCATGAAGTGCTCTGAACATGGTCATCATTTCAGATACTAAGGGAGGATTGCTGAAATGTGATTTTATTATCTTGCAATGGGTGTTTATCCTTTGGAAACAATGCAGGAGGAGGATAGATGACCCTTCCAAGATGGATTGCTGTCACGTGTCCCAGCACAGGCTTTTTGTCCCTGAACACCCCAAACTACTGCAGGAAGGAGTAGCAGCCTGGCTTTGTGGGCTGTGTGTTTTTTGGTACTGCGGTTCCTGATTAGCAGTTGCACCTCCGAGGCACTCTTCTGGACTGCATTCATGCACTTCCTGCAATTGGGGGTTCAGATCATATTCCCTGCTTGCATTTGCCTTCAAAATTATTCATGGTGACTTGTGATCTTCAGTCTCACTCTCTCACCCTTTTTTTTTTTTTTTTTTGTTCTATATGATCTGTTGTTTTCATGGATGGGCTTGTCCTTGGAGTGGTGGGGCTTGCAGCGTGGGCTGTGCTGCACAGAACAATTGAGCAAGCAGCACCCCTTGGCCACTGATGTCAAAATTTGGGGTTTTTTTGTGACCGAGGAAAAGCCTTTTCACTGCTATGAGTTTCCTTTTCTTGCATATCAAATACATGAGTGCAATCACCTGAACATCACCTGCATAGAGTTTGTTTCATGGGGAAGGAAACCAGGAGTGAGTCATACCACCTTGCTCTATGGAGCACCGATACCCTCTAGTGGTAAAACCACAGGCATTTTTAGGCAAAAGATGACAATTTCACTGATTTATCTTCTGTCTTTCTCTTGGACAAAAATCTGCACATCATCTTTAGTTGACAATGTTGTTGAATGATGTTGTAAATTCATGTCTTTATTTTAAGTAGCTGATGATGTAATTTCCTTGGACTGTTTTCAGTGTGTTTTGCCTTTCATTAAATCATTTAAATGCTTGTGAGCTGATAGGTGACTGAATCTTCATGTGGTGTAAAGAAATGGATGTAATGCAAAGCATCAAGTAGCAGCAGCTCAAGGGTTTAAATAGAGAATTAGTGATTGTATCACTGTAATGTGGCAGATCATGGGTGATTTATAGCTAATCGAAGGAATCATGTTGTCTCAGTTGAGTTCGCACCAGTTTGCTCGTAGAGGTGCAGGGTAGTTGGATCATGGGTCTTGGGAAGCCAGTGAGCCACTGGCTCCATAATTGCAAAGGGGGGACTGCAAGGGTTGGTGTGACAAAACAAGCTTGAAGGCATGGCAGGAACATTGTAGAATTGCTAAGTTAACTGCTGAATACCTTGAGCAACAGGAGTGTGGTTATAAAAGGTAGATGGCAAAAGACACATTCTGGACTCAAAGGCTGTTTCCTACCAACCACATAACCCTTGCTCTAAAGCATGGCTGGTGAGTAGGAGAAGGTGAAATGTGTCAATGAAATCCAGAATTATTTAGCATGAGCAAACACATTTATTTGTGTTCTAACCTTGCTCAAAATATCTGATCTGAAATTTTCCTGGCATAGGAAACTTCAGTCTGAATAGCTAATTTTAGGAAAGCCACAGCAAAGTAATCCTCCAGGGTTTGCTGTGAAGTGTTTCACTGTTGTCTGTTCCTTGAATGGAGGTTGCTAGTTGATGCTGTTTGAAGGAAATGCCTTACCAAAAGGCAGCAGAAGATATCTGGAGTTCACCTCTCTCATTTTACTCCATCTGCAAAAATGTTGCAGATTCTCAGAACATGCTCCATTAGCCCTAGCTTTCCTTGAACATGAAGGAAACAAAAGCCCAAGACAGATTAGAGGAGACATGTCTCTGGTCTGAGCCTCCCTTCCTCATGGTGCTTGCTTGCTAACTCCACACTGCATGCTGTGGACTCTGCTCATTTTACCCAGTGAAACAAAGCAGAGTTTTATTCAGCAAGAAATTAAATTGCAGTTTAGGCATCAGATTGAAATTCAAAACAGGTAGTACACACTAAACACAGTTTGATTCTTAACAAGCTTTTTTCTCTGGATGATTTCAGTACCTAATGCTCATCATTTCTTTGATGTACCCTAGCTATGAAAGCAACGGATTCAGAGCTTTTATGGAGATGTCCTTTCAATTTATTCACTAAGATTTGAAATACTTCAATAGCCACCTGTCCCTCTGTTCCTGTGGATCAGGTTTTTGGAGCACATTAAAATGTCCATGTTCTGGGTACATGAAGTACTAGAATATGAGCTTCCCCTACTCTGCTTCACAGTAATCACTTACAAGACTGCCTTGATTTTTCTTACCTCTTTAAGTATAAAAGATTTTGAATAGCTTGAACCTGGGAATAGTTTTACAAAGCAGATCAACATGACTTTAGATTGAACTGTATTGGATTTACCAGCAGTGGGAGTTAAATTCCCTGTCAAATCTATGTGTTCTGGAGCCTCACAGACAGACAATAGCACAGGGGCAGATTTATCACGCACTGCGTTTTTTTGGAGACCAAAAATTTTCCCTCTCTATTGTTTCTCTTTCAAACCTTTTTAGCTTTTTATGTGCATATAAATGAGTGCAAAAAGGGAAAGGAAAAATAAGTACAGTGCAGTTTTCAAGGAAGGGTTTGTTCCAGTGTTGCACTGTATTGAAACATTTACTGTTTCTCAGGTCTCCGGATGTGCCAAGTAGATTTATTTCTCTGTAACTTCAGTGTCATTTTGTGAAGTGCACAGCAAATCAGCTTGGAATAGACCTCCTGAGCATTACAATCCTCTGTCATACCATACAATCCCTTCCAAAAATGCAGTATCATCCATTTCCTTCTTGAAGAATGCAAATAAGTTAATTAATTCATGTCTGTCCTACGACCATTCTGATTTATGATCTTGCTATAATTTCTTGACTGACAGTCCCCTGTCCAGGTTGAGAACCCCTTGCTCTTCATGAGAGCCCACCTCACTGCTCACTGATGGGGAGTAGCCACCCCCTGAAGGTCTCCACACAGGTTTTTATAGGCAACATTTCCAGTACAAACACAGAGAGAGGTAACAATGCCATGGGTTTTCCTTTTATTTCACTGCAGGTTTCTCATTGTCTTGGGGTGTTTGATCTTAGCTGTCCTGACAACTTTCAAGGAGTATGAAACTGTTTCTGGAGACTGGCTTCTCTTGCTGGTAAGTTGACTGGCTGCTGCATCACCCTGGTAATGTCTTTGAATTGAAATCATCCCCATCAGCAGTGATGGAAACTTACTCCCAGCTCTGCATGCAATAAGATTTCTTCTCTGACTGTAGACTTACATATTGGAGAGTTCCCAGTCCACTGTCAGCCCCAACTGAGTAAAAGGGAAGTAAGGAGAGAGGAAAAATACTAGCCTGAGACTTTTAAATAATGGCTTTTTAGCATTTGATTAACAGTTCTCCCACTGAAGTGTCAATAAATATCCTATTGATCATGACAGACCTGAGCACATTTGAAAACTTATTTTTTGGGGCTCTTTCAACAATTTTGATTCATTCCACAGTATTCTACCAGTCTTTCAAGGGAAGTCATCAGAATTCGACTCATGCTTGTGCCCAATAACAGCATAAATGAAATTGTTTCAGGCAGTGACTCCAATGACTATCGGTGAGAGAAAATGTATTTGCAACAAATATATTATTTCTCTATGTTTCCAGCATGCTTGTTTTATAAATGCTGGAGTTCGTGCTCAAGACTGTATTTTTGTAGACCCCCCCATTTGGCAGAAGAAAACAGAAGGAAAAAAAAACCTCATTAAATATAAACATGGCATTCATCATTTTATGAAAATGACCCTAACAAAGAACTTTCTCTGCTCCCATAGGGAGCCTAAAGGGAGACTACAAGAAAACTGGAGAGGGACTTTTTACAAGGGCGTGTAGTGATAGGCAGGACAAGAGGTAATGGTTTTAAACTGAAACAGGATAGATTTAGATTAGATGTAAGGAAGAAATTCTTCACTGTGAGGGTGGTGAGGCACTGGCACAGGGTGCCCAGAGAAGCTGTGGCTGCCCCCTCCCTGGAAGGGTTCAAGGGCAGGTTGGACGGGGCTCTGAGCAACCTGGTCTGGTGGAAGGTGTCCCTGCACATGGCAGGGGGGTTGGAACTAGGTGATTGTTAAGGTACCTTCCCCATACCAAACCCAAGCCATCCTATGATTCTATGATAGCTTTCATGAAATAGGGAACAAAACTTCTCACTTAACCTGGCCTTGTAGAAAAGCATCTCTAGGGAAGATGCACAGCAAGAGTAGTTCCAGGATCTCAATTTCCATTTCCCCTTGTACCCCCAGAGCCATGTAGAACTGAGCAAGAACTAAATGCCAAAAGGAATGAAAGGTGAATTCCCCTTGCATGATCCTTCTCAAAAAGCACCTGTATGAAAACACTCACATCCCTTAGGGAATGTGAAACTCGCTTTTGGTCCCTGTTACCCTGCTTAGACCCATCTTTTCACATTTGAAAAAGCCTGAGGTTATTTTTCCTTCTCCTCTGCTTGCTTTTATGTGGCTCTCAGTGGTTTTCAGAAGTACCTAACATCTGTGGGTGTGAACATCAGGAAAAATCACTCTTCCTACTGTGCCAGCTATTCACAGAGAGGAAAAGTAACTGTGTGCTCCATGCTGTCCTTGGCCTGTCTCTGCTGAGCACCTCAGAGAAGTTATCTCCTCTTCATTCCCTCTCCATGCTTAGAAGAATTCTTGAGCAAGGTGGAAAATCCCATTCTTCCATGCACCAGAAATTTAAGGGAATAATATATGCCTTAAATTTGTCTTATATATATCTTTATTATTGCCTTAAATTTATGAGAATATGAATATACTGTATCCTGGCCCTGTCCCTATAGACATGGCTGCATGAAAAAGCTGCTGGTGGATAATCCTGGGTGTGGGTATACTGTGCACAGGGGACTTTGCAGTCACCACTCACATATGCCTTCTCTTTTTGTGTGATAGAGGAGGTCTTTTTGTGAAGTAATTGCCCTTCAATTATGTCAGAGGAAGCACTTCACATTTACTCACCAGCAGGGGCACATCCTTTCTGCAGAGTACTTAGCAGGTGTAAAATTATGTCCTACTTCACCTTGCCTCTTTCATCAACCTATATTCTCCTCCCCACTTTTTTCCTCTCTCTCTCTCTCTCTCTCACACACACTCACTTGCACCACATCTGTTTCCTTCAGCTATATCCTTGTGTCCAGAATTACTGCAAAACTTGTTACGAGTCTAACAATGTAGTTTGTGTTTTTGATACAGGAAACTTTTGCCATTTTCATCTTTGGAGCAGAGTTTGCTTTAAGAATCTGGGCTGCTGGGTGTTGCTGCCGCTACAAAGGATGGAGGGGGAGACTCAAATTTGCCAGGAAGCCTTTGTGCATGCTGGGTAGGCACATGCTTTCTATTACTCTTTTCCGCATTATGTCCTTTTCCTTCTAAGCCATTTTGGGGAGATGCCCAAGAACTGTGAATAGCAGTGCAAAGAGCATTGAAATCACATCTGCCCTTTGTGCTAGGAGTTGTGTCCAGTTTGGAGTAGTTATTTGAAGTACCCAGCAATGATGATCAATTTGAGAGATACTTGGGGAGCTGGTCAGTGAGAAAAAAAATGGATCATTCTACCATTCAAACACATTTTCCTTGTCCTGAGTCCCACTGCATTTTTTTTTAAGCTCATCCCCAAATATATCCCATCTGCCTTCAGTTTCAAACCACATCAGATCCCAAGCCTAAACCATCTTCCCCAGACCTTTTCCATATTCAGGTGTTGTGTTTTACCTTCGTAATGTTGGTCTGCATTTGCAAACAAGTATCTTTGTGTTTTCACTTATGTTATCTTTCAGGCTTGGAAGGCACTGCCTATAACAATCCATAAAACTACTCATTATTCACATTTGAATCTCCTACAATTCCCCATTATGTCCACAATCCAACCAGCCAACATTCAGGAACTCACTCAGCCCTGAGCACCTGTCACACACATCGACATTCGTTCAATATTTCCAGGCTCCCTCATTTACTTTGATGCACTTTGGACCAAGCACTCGCTTTTTTTTCTTTATTTTTATAGCACACAGCACTCTGGAGAGCCACGATTCTGCAGTTATATGAATACATGTCACTCTCTTCCCTCTCCCTCCTTTTGTTCATCTCGTGGGTCTAAATGGTAGACAAAATTGAAACAAATTTTCATAGTCCATCTGTGCTATCTTCAATTTAGTAGTACTCTTTTGGGTGCTACTGTTGTATGAATACTTCTTACACTTCTAATAGTATATGACGGCAGTAGAGTGTGGTGTGAACAAGTAGGATTGATACTCTCATACCTTTTTGGTAAATGTCTCATCTCACTTCTGAGAATGAATCTTCATTGATATTGGTAAATAACAGAAAAGATCCCACCGGATTTATTAATATCATCTCTTGGTTGTCACTGCCACAAGTTTGTTTAAAATGATTGAAATCAAATAAATCTGAAATCCACCTGATGCCACTCTTTTTGGCTGGAAATAGAATATGAAATCAGTTTAAAATCTGAATGCCTGGAGAAACTCTGAAGACTTTTGGTACCACCTCTTTCTTTTATATGTATATAATCGAAAAGCAGAGGGGAAACAAGGAAAAGAAAGGAAAATAAATAAAAGAAGAAGAAGCAATGCAATTTACATTTTGTCCTGGGTTGAGTGAGTGGTGGAGTTTTTTGGTGGCAGGGGAGGGGGCTATCGGGGCGGCCCCCTGTGAGAAGCTTCTCGAAGCTCCCCCAGCTCCAAGTCAGCTCCACCTCTGTTTGGAAAATTGAGCCAATCAGCTGCGCCTCTGCGATAACATATTTAAGAAGGGACGTGGTGATGGGCAGTCGGACTTGTGAGGAGGAGTTGCTGCAGCTGCATGAACACCAAGGTCAGTGGAGGAACGGAGGAAGAAAGGAGGGGGGAGGTGTGCTGGAGCAGAGACCCCCCTGTATCCTGTGGTGAGACAGCAGGGCGGCCCCCCCCTGCCACCCATGAAGATCTACGGTGGAGCAGACATTGATTTGTGGCCTGTTGTTCCTGCTCGGCTGGATCAAGGTTCTGTGCCCGAAGAAGGCCGGGGTCTCATGGAAAAAGGCAGCCCCACTGCTGTAATTCAGTGCTGGGAGGATTGCAGCATGCGGGGGAGTCCCACGTTGGAGCAGCTCGGGAAGGGCTGCAGCCGTGGGAGGGAATCCAGTCGGAGGAAGTTAATGACCCATGACGGAGCAGTGTGGGGAACGCTGCGGCCCGTGGGAGGAATTCAAGTCGGAGAAAGTTTGTGGAGGACTGTCTCCTGTGAGAGGGGGACCACGATGGAGCAGGGGGTAACAAGTTTTGGACACTCCCCTCACCGAACATGAAGGAAGTGGCAGCACTGACTGCACCCCCCGTTCCCTGCCCCTGCGCCACTGGGGGAGGAGGTAGAGATATCGGGAGCAGAGCTGAGCCCGGGAAGAAGGGAGGGGTGGGGGAAAGGTGTTCTCAAGAGGTGGCAATGCTTCTCACTGTCCTACTCTGTTATGTGTTGTTAGTGTCTGTAATAAATGTATGTTCTTTTTTTTCTTCCCCTAACGAGTCTGCCTTTTGCTCGTGATCATAAAAGGGGGATTTTTCCCCATCCCAGTCCTATCTTGAACCCCAAGCCTGGCTCTCTGTCCCTTCTCATTGCCGGAGGGGAAGGGAGAGAGAGGTGCTGCATTGTGGTTGGCTGCCAATCAGGCCTAAACAACCACGACACATTTCAAACCTCTTCAGTTCATCAACAAATTGGCCCTGTGAAAGCTTACAAAAGATAATAGTACAGGCTTTGAGATTTTAATGTGAAATCTCAGCCAAAAGAAAGAAATACTAGGTGCACCATCAAAAACTGAATTTCTTATCTGCTGACCTGTTCACTATGGTGTTCTTGTGAGACAGATGAATTTAAGGCTGTTTTTCTGTCAGCATTAGAACACTGTTTCTGTGTATCCCTAAACTAGCTCAGACAGTGTCTCAGGTCCAGTGCATGGATCTGTAAACAGATTACAAGGTTTTCTGGTGGGTTTTGTGCAAGATGCTGACTGTGTGGCAGGTGCAGATATCTGCTTAATTCGAAGCGAAAGCATTTTCAAGCAGATTTAAAATTTGCCTAGGGAAATTTGAAGCACAACCAGATGGGATTAAGAAGCAGGTGATTTGGCCACTTTTGTTGGCAGGCTTTGTTCTTTTCGCCTTGCAGATATCTTTGTGCTGATTGCTTCAGTGCCAGTGGTTGCTGTTGGGAACCAGGGAAATGTTCTGGCGACATCTCTCAGAAGCCTTCGCTTCCTTCAGATCCTACGGATGCTCCGAATGGACAGGCGGGGCGGCACATGGAAACTTTTGGGATCAGCCATTTGTGCACATAGCAAAGTAAGTGAGGAGCTTGCAGGGCTCAGCTGGGGTTTGAGGGAGAGACATTGAAGGGAAAAATAGGTGATGCAAAGGTAGAATAATGCCTTGGGATTATGTCTAGTAGTTCAAGCAATAGTTTTGTCCTTTCAGCATTATTCCTTCTTCCAGTCTCTGAACCATTTCTGCCCCTTTGTTTACACTTCTCTACTCAATAGTGGTGCTGGGAAGTGACAAAAGAGAATATTCATTCCCACACTCATTACAACAGGAATTTTGCCTCTACACTGAATGAGAGCAGGAACATCCCTTTAATGGTAAAATATGTTGAAATATTTGACAGAAACGCCTCTGTAGTTACAACGTGTTTGTAGTGGCTTCTCAGACTTGTCTGATCAACAGATGGAGCAGGACTCAGAAGGGGTGGAAAGATGTTGGCTAGCAGAAATGTGGTTTCAGAGGGAGCAACTGGTATAATTTCTATTTGGAAGCATAGGTCAGACAATACAAAAATGCACACAGTGTGAACTCAGACAGACAAAATTTCTAAAATCATCTTTGCTCAGTCTAACTTGATGCTATACTCAGACACATTCTGTCTCACACCAGACAGATACGTTGTGTTCTTGCATTTTCACCAAACATTATTACAAGTTAAAAACTATCTGCATAAAAATCCTCTAGATGAGATTTCTCATCTGCACAGGGTGTAGAAAAATTGCATATACTCTGTGCTACATACTGCTTTTTCTTATCCATGAATGACATTCCTGACATTTTAGGGGGTTTTGAAAATTAAAATGCCAGCTGGCACAGCATAATTAGACTTTGCTTCTTTGTAGTGGCTGATAGGGATACCCACCCTGCTTCATTTCATACCAACTTCTGTTTCTTCCCTACATAAACGTGCTACAAGGCAGGTGGCACATAAACACTTATGTCAAAAATGTCTCAGGAAACTGAGATCATGGAAGAAGTCTATGTGCCAAAGTCATTATTTAGAAATTGTTTAAGGCTTCATTGTGTGAGATTTCATTCAAATGACACCACCGCCACCCTTTGGACATCAGCTGGCTGAGGGAGATAAGAAGGGGCTGTGAGAACTTTGCTTTTCTGGAGACACTAAAGAAACAATTTTGATAACACGGTTAGCCAACAAATTTCCTTCTGTGATTGCACACCAGAAATTAGCCAAGAAAGTTGACTTATCTCAAGGCTTGATTATGAAATTCTCAGCTACAGATTTTTTATTATTTTTTTCCCTTCCAAATACAGTTCTCAGAAAATTAAAGGAAGTGGAATATTGATTTTTTAGCCACTTTTGAAGACCTTCACCAAAAATGTTTCTGCTTTGTTTCAGACATTGCTGGGATTTTAACTTGGGTTGCTGCATCTCCCACCTTAGTGGGATTAGCCACACACACCACTTTAGTCATTTTCTCTAAAACAAGGAAGCTCAGGTTTTGTTTTCACACAGATGATTTTCAAAGTCTGTTCTTATTGCATCAATTCATGGTGAAGACATTATTCATGGTGGAACCTGCTTTGATATGCCTAAAGAGAAGGAACTGCATCCTGCAGCCTTGGCTCTCTGAAGGTAGGGAGAAGACAAAGCTGTTGATTTGCTTGACAAGATTGAACAAGCCTAGGGGCAGCAGAAATGGGAAGCATCAATGTCAGGGACAGAGCCCTGCATCACCTTGTGTCAGGGGTGCAGCTACACTCTTAACCCAGCTTTACGCAGAACTACAACTGCAAACTGCTCCATGTTATTCTCAAAGAAGATGCTATATAATGGCTAATTCCTGTAAATTTCTGAATTATTTCCCAGTAACTGCGGAGCTGGGCTGGTCATGGACTGTGACCAAGACAGCAGTGGCAGCTCTGCTGTTATTCTCCATGCTTCTCTCCTCTCCTAACATGTATTCTGCCACTGTGGGTATTGAGACTGTTTTCAGCCCCTCCATTGTCCATCTGTTTCTTTTGCAGGAACTCATCACTGCTTGGTACATCGGGTTCCTGACGCTCATCCTATCCTCATTTCTTGTTTATCTGGTTGAAAAAGATGTTCCTGAAAAAGATGCTAATGGTGTGGAGATGAAGGAAGAATTTGAAACATATGCAGATGCACTGTGGTGGGGACTGGTAAGTGACTCCAAAAATATCTTGTCCTCTACTTAAAGTCTTCATATCCAAGAAGAGATAAAACATTGATGTTAGGGATTACAGTATAAGTGCTGGTAAATTTGGGTAAGGGGCATGTTACTGGTATAATATTACCAAAGTAGGGATGCCCATACAACCAATTAACAGAACTTACATCCCTGTTGATTTTCAGTCAGACAAAGGCCCTTAGGTGCTTAAACCTCCTGCAGAAATCAGCCTGTGCTCCTGGCTTCTGGGAAACTTCTGCTTTAGAGGAGTATCTCTTCAATATAGCTGCACTGACAGAGCCTATGCCTATGGGAGACCTATGTCCCTCAGGAAATGGCAAAACCAGAGTGCATCAATAGACTGTTCATTTGGTCTAGGAAAATGCATCAAAGGTTTGGACAGTATAGGTAGACACTCATGGAAGGAGTCATTGGTGAGTAAGAGGAACCTTTGATATATCTGTTCTTGTCTCTTCTGATGAAGAGTATTGGTTTGCACCACTTCTCATTTGATCTCAAAATATTCCTGCCACCTGGTAAACAGAATTCACGTTGCTTTGCTATCAATAGTTAGGGGACACTATATCATGATGTGACTAAAATTCAGCAGCATATTTTTTATTTAATGCAGTTCACTCATATATGGCAAGATTCCTCCCCTCCACTATTAATCAAAAAGTCCCAAGTGTTGCATAGAATACCTTGATATTTTCATATCCTTTCATATCCAGGACTTTTAGGTAGAGTCTCACTGGTAAGAAAAGGTACACAGGTGGAAATTAGCAGTGCACAGGAAATGTACAGGAAAGAAGTAAGTTTTCACAAAGTGCTCTTTGTTTTAAAATGACTGGGACTTCAGAGAGAGGTTGTCCTGATTGGTTGTTAAAGCTCTGCAAGATGTTAACTAGCAAGTCCCATTCCTAACTGTGTACAGATGGTGGACAGGGCACTCACTCCACATGCAATGTCACATTGAGTCCCCTTTCAGCAAATGTATCCTAGAGAGGCAGCTGCTTTAAAACTAAATGCATTCTCCCTGGTGCAATGACTCTGGACTATGACGTCATTAACAAGAGTTTGTTGTCCCATCATCATGACCTTATTTCAAGAAATTCTGCATGAGCGCCCATAAGATTTAGTTATGCAGGTTTCATAGTGACATTTAAAGCAGAGGTGTTGGGTTTGTTTTTCTTATCGGAAATCCTGGCCATTCTGTCCACAGATCACCCTTGCTACGATTGGGTATGGTGACAAGACCCCCAAAACATGGGAGGGACGTCTGATTGCAGCTACGTTCTCTCTCATTGGAGTGTCTTTCTTTGCTCTTCCTGCAGTAAGTACCTTCCCTCTCCTCTCTTAGGCGCAGCCTAGCACTATGCACTTGCAAAAAGAAGACAAAGTGATCAAAACTGTCAATGGAATCAAAATCCCTTTTTAAGAAGAGATTCAGACACTTGATCTGATCTATATTAGCAAATCAAATTCCTTTCTTCCCAACTTTGCATAGAGCTTATGGGGAATATTATGTCACCCTGCTACTTCTCAAACCATGTGTGGACATTTTCTAAGACAGTGTTCATTGGCACAGTACAAAATTAATCCAGCAAATGAACAGTTTTGGAAATCACAGGCAGTTCATGAGCCTGTACCCTGGCCCAGGTTAGTTTACTGTTATTGACATAGCCGCACAATATGTATTTGTAAAGGATACGGGGGCTGTTGTTTTTATAATTAGAGTTGGGCCCATCTTACCCATCTCTAAAAACTTGCAAGCTGGAGATGTACATCTGAGTGATCATCACAGACCAGTGGTCATCCTTTATAACCAGTGCAGCTCTGTGGAGCATTTCATCTCACCTGTTACCCTTCCTTCCTAGAGGAGATCTCTGTCACCACCACAGAAGTGCAGTTTCGACCCACTAAGATTAAAGGGAATTTAGATAGCAGGTGACAATACAGGTATTTTTGATCTAGCCAGGTGAATCCTGATCTGGCTGCTTACTAAATTCTGTATAAAATGTTTTTGAATGTATATTTGTTCTCTTGTGTTACATAGGCCAAATATTTGCCTTGTCTGCAAAGTATTCAGGTAAGAATGAGAAAAGATCTGGGTGAGATGGACAGAATAGCAACAGAAACCACCCCAAGTCCAGATTTTAGGATATATTTCCTTTAAAATGAGACTAGGAAAGAATTTCATAGAAGATGGGAAGTCCCACACACCTCAATCTAGAGTATGGTTGGTATAGATCTTTTATCACACAAGCAGAGTTTCACTCTACCCTGAGTGGAAAGTAATATACCACCTGGACACCTCACATCTTGGAAAGGCAGTAGACATTCAAGAAGCTTGTTGAGGATGTTAAAATGATTTGGTGTGGCCTGTGGCCCTTGAGAGGATCATGACAAACTTGTATCGCATAAGCAGAGCAATGGGAAAAGCATAGTGTACAGCACAGGGTTCCCACGTAGTCACATCCATCTCCACCTGCAGACCTGTTTGGTCTCATTATTGATCTATTTTTTCTGAGTAAAAAATGTCTAAAGTCCTGCGTCAATCTATGCTTTCAGGGCATTTTGGGCTCAGGGCTGGCACTGAAGGTCCAGGAGCAACATCGTCAAAAACATTTTGAGAAAAGAAGAAAACCGGCAGCTGAACTCATTCAGGTTTGCCGCCACTTATACCTTCCTTGAAAAAGTGATGTGTATGAAGACTGCTGCACCATGTTAACAAGGGCCACTTCTTCCCCCCTGCCCAAATTCTCATTTCCCATTGCAGGAGGTGAGAAGCTGTGTTTGTAAAAGAGTAATTTTTTTTTCACATTGAGCTAGATAATCCAGTGGTCCTTGCAGTTTTTGAGGAATATCTCAATTCCCAGAATATCTTTCAGAAGAACAGTGTCTTTAGAAGACAGGGTCTCATCTGCTAGCTTCTGGACACCAACCAACTTCTGCATCAGTGCCACAAAATCACAGCCAACAAGCTGTTGAAAACATATTCTTTACAGAATCCAGGTTTTGTCAGTTCCCCTGAGAGAGTGTTTTTATGTGCAAACAGTTACATTGTTATTGATGTGAAAACAACAATAGAAGTAACACAATAGGCAGTGACAGTTTCAATCAGGGCATATGATGTAAATATTATGTGTGGTTTGTAAAAACTGAAACACATCCTGGATCTCCTTTATGTCACTGGATGATCAGAGGATTCAATGGGAAGAGACTACTTAGCTTACTTGGACTTCAGTTATGACCTTTGTTATGAATTCAGAAAATTAAACAAAATTACTAGTCTGGGTGATAACAAATTTGACTGGAGTTACTCTTAGTAGCTGTGGAACACACCCTGATGGTAGTGAAGTAGATGGCAGCATTTCCAGAGAGGGATAAATTTTCTGTGATATCGGATGGAAACATAGGTGCTCAGAACTGCTCAGGATCAAACCAGTCCTCAGGAGAAATAGGTTGAGTGGCATATTATGCTGTTCTTATTAAAAATACTGCTTAGTAAATAGAAGGGGCTGCAGGCATGAGTGGCGAATTGAATTCACCTTTTAAATTAAAGCATATCCACTTAGCAGGTAGCTAATCTAACTACATTATTTTTTAGGTATGTGCTTAGAGAATTTTGATTGGAGCTAAATGCTGAAATAGAAAATTGCTCAGAAAAATTTCCTCTGGTTGTACATTAGATAGAAAACTAGCTTAAGCACTTCCAGAAATATCCAGACAAATCCAGCAGTGCTTGAAGCTCTTTTCGACATACCAGATAGGAGAATAAAATCAGGTTAGTCAAAAGTAATGTCTTGTTGATGTTGGTGGTTCTCTCTCATGCCCTGACTCATTTAATAGTCCTCCCAGGTCATAATCCAGTGTCAATAATTTCACTGTATAGTGACACTCATTTGGTATGGCTGATTTGTAATTAATTTCCAGATAATCATTCAGATGCATTGTATATTCTTTGAAACAATCTGGCTGCTCTCAGACTGGGAAATAGATTTACCTAACACTAATTTATTCTCTCCCTTATAATTTAGGCTGCTTGGAGATACTATGCTACTAACCCCAACAGGATTGATCTAGTTGCTACCTGGAGGTTTTATGAATCAATTGTATCATTTCCATTTTTCAGGTAAATGCACTGTCCACCTCCATCATTTTATGTGAAGTTAAAGTCAGAACAGGAAACATAGACTTTATATATATCTATGAGGCTTTTGTAGGTAACAGAGAGTTGCCAGTTAACTTCCTGGCTGAGACTGAAAAACATGCTTTTTAGTTTCTGAATCCATTTCTTCTCCCTTCCCCTGATAGGATATATTAAGGGCACATGGATAATTCCATCAGCGGCTCTCATGTTGACATTAGACAAAGGAGAAGGCTGCCTCAATGTCAGCTTCCTTTTGTAAAACTCTAGAGTTTATTGACCTGGAAATCTCATTTTCTCCCTCTGTAATTTTGATCTTGATAAATATTTAGCCTTGGATTTCAGAGGCACCTATACTTCTTGGACCCTCTATGATCTGGTTGTATATTTTGAGAAATGGGCTATGCTGAAAATTCTTACTTTTCCCTCTTTAACTCAGCTGGCCTGAAAATTGTGTTGTTCACAGAGGTGGCCATGGCATGTGAACATAACTAATTCTTGTTAAATGCTTGTCTTTTGGCAATACCAACTGCTCAAGGGGATAATTCAGTGGAGGACAGCCAAAGCATGTGTAAAACTATCTCTCACTGAAATTATTAACTGAATGTTCACAAGGAAACTTTACTGGGGAGTTGAGGTCATGGTTTTATTTAAATCACCACTTCCAAGTTCAGTGGAAAGCATTCCACACATGAAGACATTCACACTTATTGGACACTCATATGTTTATGGATATGAGCCTGTTTGATCCTCAGTTTTCTTGCCTGTCAAACGGACATCATCCCCAGTTTGAGTTCTTAACGTTTTAAAATACTGGCTCTATGAAAGCCAAGACTTTTAGTTTTAGACTATCAGCTGCTAAGAATGGGCATTATTTATCAAAGTTTATACTTTAACCTTTCGTTATGGACTTGCTGTTATGTCTTATTCTGACAAAAAGTGCCCTTAAACGATTGCTCAGTTCAGAGGTCTCCACATATAAGTTGTGCTCATTGCACTAATATTGCAGGTCCAGCTGTTGCTCAAAACTGACTTGAAGAAACATTTCAGGCTCCTGCCTTCACAAAGAGCAAATTATAAGTAATAACTCTTTATTTGTTTTTTGTTTTTTGGTTTTTTTTTTTTTTTTTCACAATCTGTTTCTTTAGGGTTGATTTTACTTAGGTCAAAAAGAAAAACTCTAAGAAAAAGCACCGCAATGTTTATTTAAGGCTCAGTACCTTTGTTTCCTTTTCTTTATCCCTTCTTACTCTCTACCTATTCCCACGTTATCCATTGTAGAGTGATTTCCAGAGGGTTTCTTGACCTCAGGTTTTGTTCAGATAATAATTCTCAGGGTTGCCTGGGGTCTAGAGTAGTTACCATGACTTCAAGCTTGTTCATTGTATGTAGGTTCTTCTGTGATTCAAATGCAACCTGAAATTTAAGAGGTGTTTTGCAAATAAGGTCCTGGGAGAGAGGGCAAGGGAGTTCACTTCTCACCAAAGACTAGATTGCCAGTCCAAGCAGCACAGATTAGTTTCAGGAATCTATATCACTTTCTTTGCTTTATGGCTAGTTGAAAATGTAGCTTTTATTCTGCTGTCAGTTATAGTCAGAGAACAAGTAGGGTATAAACCATTAATAAAAGATTGGAAATTTCTGTTTAAAAGAATCTGCTAAATTTATGATGTAATTCTTTTCTTCTTGCTTTCTTGTAATGCTTCCTCTCTCCTATAAAAGGAAAGAGCAATTGGATGGTACTGCCAGGTACGTAGCTGCCATTATTGTAAATTTGTTTTAATAGAGTTATTGGAGGATGCAGGTTAAATGGTTCTTTGTGGTTTCATAATCTGTTAACCAAAACATGCTACTAACACCACAGATAGTCATTAAAAATGATTAACCAATCCATTTCCTAATTGCTTGCTTTTTTCCCAATTTAACAACACAGCTAAAATGCTAACTGTACAAATGCCATGTTGCTTGCTGATTGTATGTAAACAGCTTTATTGTTCATTACTCTTAATCATGGTCTAAATTTCTCCTGATCCATGCCACAGAGCCAGGGTTTAACATCCAGGTTGTTCTGGGGTGAATTTAAAGTTCTGTTTCATGTTATTGCTCAAGAGTCCTGCACAGAGTAATGCTGAGGTGTAAGGGATCAAGTCTGTGTTGATTTACCATATGCAAAGATTTTTTGAAGATAAATACTAAGATGGATCAGCAGGATAGTCAATCTCTCTGGCAGTACTGAAAAAGCTGCCTTAAGTTTGAGACGTTGGTCCCACCCCTGCTGAAACAGATGGGAAAGCTCCCAGTAACTTTGGGGAATTTACAAACAAGTAGAATGAAGGAATCATTGATCCTAATACTGATCAGTCACTGAAGACTACAACAGAGCAGTCCCTGTCAGTTAAACTACAAGGTCTCAACTGGAAATGGTATATTTATAACCCCCACCAGCTAAATTGCAGATTCAAAAGCATGTAAAACAATTTAACCTCTTAGGTCAAAAATGTGAAATACTTAATGCTAAACTGCTATCAATGGATCACCCACAATGAAAGTCAATAGCACTTAAAGGATAAATAGTTCCATAGACTTGTGCTGAAGATATTTTCATTTGCACCCCCATTTACAGCACAGAGAAAAAGACCAAGAATTGTAGCAAAATCTGAAAACCATTAGAGATTAGGCCTGGTTTCCAGTTCCTGGGCTGATGAAAAGTTATCTTTTTCTTTTTGTTTTTTGAACATTTCATACAACATGTGACAGCTTCAATAAGGGTAGCTGAAAAAAACAGATTCACACTTGTTGTTCTCCTATGAGTTTTGGGGGTTCAAACTTCCTTTAACAAAAAAGAAAAAGCTATTGTAAGTTTTCTTACAGTACAGGCAAGTGCTGTAGTGCTGAATTATAGGGAAAAGATGACTTTCCCCTCCTGCCACCATCATCATGAGCTAACCTGCTCCTTGTCAGACTGCCTGGATGGGAGTTACCTAGTGTGTGAACTTTCATTAACCTTAAGTACTACACATCCACAACACTGTCCAGACTAAGCAGTCATGAGGAAGCTCAGTTGCATTAATGTAGATGTCTGGATATTTTAGCTATCTCCAGGGTTGGCAGCAGCTGAATTTTGGCATTTAATATGTATGAGAGACCTTAGGAGCTGAAATCCCTTTGAGTATGTAACTCGATACCTTGAGCTAAAACTCGTTCTGTCTCAGATGCAGGAGCAGATTAAAATTAGGAAAGTGAATGATTGCTGCAGTTTTCTGTCTGTCACAGCCCCACTAGAGAAACTCTTGCACCTGAAGTGACAGAACAGTTTGTGGGGTGGCTTCTGAGGTACTTGATCTTTTAGGGCAGTAGAAGAAGTCATTTTATGTTGATGCGCTGGATTAAAAACTAAAAAGTATGTCTCAGACCTCAAAATCTTTAAAACTGTAATCCCAAAGACCCTCATTCTAGCTGGATATATCTTAATTTTACATTGCTACATATGTAAAAACCTTCAGCAAAATCATCACTAAATCTGCATTGAAGCCTTCCTGTTAGCAGGAATGAGTTTATGGAAATAAGCTTTCGATAAGAAGGATTGGAAACCCTCCAGGTAAACAGAAAAATGATGGTACTTGTGGGAGCATCCACTGACTTCAGTAGACATGGGACTGAGACATAAAATCTAGTTGTTCTGACAGTCCCACTTCCCATCTCTCATAAAACTCTTATTTACAGACCAGATAATTAAAAAAAAAAAAAATCCTCTTCCTCCTACAGTGATTTAGTATAGAAGGTATTACTCATATTCCACTGCAGTTTGCATTTAAGGATGTATTGAAATAAATGAGCAATAAAGGAACACAGTCCCACTGGAGAGAACAGCCCATATGTGCACTCGGTCTCCACATTCTTGCATCTGATAAGTACTTAATGAAAAGCTGTAGTAATAAACTGCATTGTCTGAACAGTGTTTGATAAAGGAGAGAGAATAATTGGTTCAAAGCTTTCCCAGAAAAGTAAGAAAATTTGACTAGTTAATAAATTAAAAATAAGGCTGAGATATGTGAAAATTTGAGGATGTGTAGCAATTTGAGTGACAGGGTTTCTATTCAGTGGTGCGAAAGCTCTTTGGTAAATCCACAGTAGTAGAGTTGAACTCTGTGACAGATCCTTCTTGGAATCTGCATATGTCCTTGGGAGCAGGAGCTGGCATCATGACAAAGTCACAGCTAGATACAACTCCTTGTTCTTAGACCATTTGGGAAAAACACAAGGGAGAGGAAAGAGTGGAAGAGTTCATTTCAGGAGTTTAATCCCAAGGCAAGGCTGCAGGGAAGGACTTGTGATAGTAGGAAGCTAATTAAAGTTTGGCAGCAGCCCAAGGCTTTATTGAAGCTCCCTTTAAACTAAAACTGTGAAGATGTGAGACATGAAAAATACACTGGAATACCCTTGACCTAGGCAGTAGTCTGGGTCCTGTAAGCAGTAAAGTGATACATATGATGCAACTCTGTTAAGAACAGCATTTTCCTTACATGCCCTTTATAGTCCCCCAAACCAAGAGGAACTAGGGCTGTGCTATTTATTGCTCAGTGGTTGGGAGTTTACTGACTTCACGGAAGAGGTGCCACTAGCTTTTTCTTCCTTAATCAATGCCTAAACCTACCAGCCATGAAATCTCAGATAGAAATTGCTCTTCTGCATGTATTGCAAAGCCTTGTCATCTGTTCAGCTCCTAAGAAGGAAGATATATGAGAAAGAGATATTAATGCTTATTTCTGCTGGAGTGCAGCAAACCATTCAGCAAATATTTGGATGCCTGACCTACATTTAAGATGCACTTTTCCTTGATGGACATACTGTTTACTTTGAACCAACTTTTTATGTCTATGTTTGAGGAATGTATTGTGGGCCTGATTTTTCAGTGCTGTTGTTAGCAGCTATTTAATTTATTTCAACTAGTGTTGAAACGTTGACTTTTGTATGTACAGGCACTTTAGCGAATGATTTTGAACTTTCCTCTAGGATCTTTCTCCTAAACAGAATGTCCAACTGTAGAAATAGGTATCAGGAAAGCATGTTCATTCTTAGATTTATCATTATGTGATTGCAGAACAGTCATTTATCCCTGTTTCCTTATCTCTACAAGATAAATTATATTTCTCTGCCTTTGGAAAGTTTGTTTGATATTTTTAAGTGGCAGAATCGGTGATAGTCCTTCCTACTATGTGATTATGAAAGAATGCATATAATGTGGTGCATTTTTGTATTGACAGTAGTAACAGCATAATGAAAATAAAATCATACTTTGCAAGGTGGAAAATTTCACTGTCAGCATTTCTTCTTAATACATCTACCCAAAAGAGGAAGGAGGAAAAAGACACTCTAATCTGCACACTACATTAACTACAAATGAAAGGCTGTTCCCATTCTTTTTCATTGAGCTTTTCATGGGTAAACATTAACGTCTCATCTTAATAACTTTTCTTCACTTTACAGTAATGTCATGTTTAGTAGGGAGTCATTCTTTGGATCAAGCCTCACGAGAAAACTTAGGTATATACATTCAAGTAACAATTGAGCCTTACTCTTTTCATATTTCTTGCATGCCATTCTCTGCCTGCACTTTCTGTTTTTACTACAGTAATTCATCTAACCAACATAAAAAGTAAGGGGCGATAAAACTGAAGTTATTTAAGCATAAAAAGAAAGTTGCATGACCTTGCAGATAGTTCATTGTTCTGCTGTTCAGTAAACATGGGATCTAATCCTGGCTCTGCCAATGATCTGCTTAAAAACAAGTGCTTTTCTCTTTTTCCATAGAATGGGAATGATACTAACCTACTCTGAAAATAATTTAGAAATTTACAGTAAGAAAAATACATTGTAAGAGCTAAATACTATTGCTTATGCAGTCCCAACCCTGCCAACACAAATTCATGCAATTTATTTTGCATTTCAGTTCAGTGGAACAACATCTCCGCATGTGTATTTTCAGGTTATGGTTCAGCAAATGGAAAACAAGTGGATGCTTTTGATCATCTGAATAAAGTTAGTGATGTGATTAAACTTCTTGCTGAACTGTGATCTAAGATGTGGGGCAAGAACTTTATCTTCCTGTAAAGAGATACAGAAATATTTTGTGGCATTTCAGGAATCTGAAAGACACATCATCAGAAATAATAATATTTTGACTAGATTGTCAAGCATTTTATTCTACCCCACACAATCATCTTGTTATCATTCAACTTTATCTCATTGTTCTCATTCCCACTTTGTTCCACAAACATGAAAACATCAACACACAACTCAGCTTTTCTAGCCTAAGCTCTTCAACTTTTGGAGAGCTGCTAGTGAAGCACTCCATTTTTTCATTGGATGATTGGCCCATGCAAAATAGTCAAAAGACTGATTTTGGTTTGCTTTCTAGTGGTTGCTACATTGAGATATATTCACTGCAAATTAAAGAGTGGGTCAACATCCATATGGTTTCTACCTACATTGTTGGTTGCATCCACTGGCGGAATATATTCATCCTGTTTTCACAAAGACTTGAACATGGATTATTCTCCCCATGGATTTGTGTGACATTGCTTATTCTTACCCATTTTAAGTCACTTTAGAAAGTGTGGATGAGAAGAGGGTCTAAGCAAAGGCCTTTGGTGTGCATAAGGGCTCTTTCTCTTTCTGAAGGACATCAAACTTGAGCCCATGTTAGGACTTGTGTTCATGTTTCTGGGTCATCTGGATGGTAGGTGAGTTTGGATTTAGAGTCACACCTACACTTAAATACCAGTGAGGACATACACCACCGAAGAGTGTGGAAATTGATTGTCTGAAAAGGGATGTTTCCTCCTTAGACATTAGAAACTAGCAAATTTAGACCTCAGAATTCAGGGTGGAAAGTGGCTTTTTAAATTAAGACATCAGCTGTCAAGAAGTTGCAGTCAGTTATTTAGAGATTGAACATTTTTGTGAGATCCTCTCTATAGGAAGGAATGTTATTCTGTAAAAAGAAAAGCTGATTAGCCAACATTCAGAAGTATATTGGAAATGCAGAATGCTCTTTGTTTTATATTAAGAAGACTCATGGAGTCTCTGAGATTAGTTGAACGTATTCACTACAGGATTCATGGCTGTCCTCATAACATTAGTTTTCTGCTAATTTCTATTGGGAAAAGTTCAAAGCAGAATACTTCTGGAAATCTCATTCAGCATGTTTGATTTTCCAAAGCTAAGTTCACCCATTTCAGTATAACTGATAATGTTCTAAAATATTGGAGCAAATATGACTGTCTTTTGCTTCCAGTTACTTGAGACCAACTAACTCTAGTGATGAGCTAAACTGCAAAAAATATGGAAAAAACATCCTACTTATTATTAGTCCTTATTAAGTGAAAGTGGTAAATACATGGAATAGAGCTGTGTTTGATTCCCTGTTAGCATTAATTCATTATTTTTCTGTCATACATGTATCATTTGTTTATGAAACTCCAATACTAGGCAAAGCACAGAGAGGAGAGTATCTGGCTTGCATGATGGGATGTAACTGCATTATTTCCTTGCATGACTGTTTCTGAAAAAGTATTTCTAGTTCAGTGGTTCCCACTCTTTTTTCTGAGTAAGGATAAAACATCTGCTGCAGAAGCCAGCCATCTCTTGTATATCCAGCCACGAAATTCATCTCTCCGGTGGTCCAAAATAATTCCCAGTGCTCTTGGGGAGCAAGAATCTGAGAGCTGAATTTTTCTTTATGTATGAAGCTTTCAAGCCAAACTGTCTGCCCTGCTTCTGCCTTCCTCCCTTTATGGTGGTCTGTACCTACCACAGAGTAAAGGAGTTCTCATCCTGGGACTCCACTTCGAAGACAAAGTTTTGGGGAAAATTTTTATTCCACCACAAGGGAAATGATGCAATAGCATGTAAGACAAGCAATGGCAACATATCCAAGCTAGTTAGAGAAACTACTCTGCATGTTTATCACCATGTTTGGGATGCATTTGAATCCCCCTAGTTTCTGGAACTTGTTGGAAGTCAGGAATCACATTTTATTGAGTGTAAGGAAACCAAATCAAGTGAGACTGCTGTCCCAAGGGAAGCAATAGTAGCTAGTATCAGTAGTAGGAGTCTAAAAGACAAGCAGCAGTACATGAACTGGTGGGTGGGAACCACTGTCCTAGCCACTCTCATGAAGGTTGATGTGGTCTGCGCATGCTTCATACTCTGAGACTGAGCCATGCGCATGCTGTTTTAATGAAGGAGATTGTGTCATGAGAACAAATGTTTCCTAAGTCTTTTTAAGAAGCACAATGAAAACAAAAACCCCAGCAGACCCAGATTTCATCCTTTGGAAATGAGAATAAAGTCCATTTTTTTTTTTTTTCTGATGACAGCTTATCATTATCTGGAAAGAAGCTTGGGTTCTGTTTTGGGTTCTTTTGTATATAACATACTGTTTTATTTTATCATGTGAAGCTGATGAATTATTTTCTGATGATTCTACTGCTCTGGCTGCCTGGATATGAACACAATTGTCAGTATTTATTACATAAATATTCTATTATGAATCTGAATGTTACTTTAAGGGTTAATCATTAGGATTCAATTAATGAAGTAGGTTTCAGCTCAAGTAATTTGAACTTAGACTAGAGACTGTTTTTTTAAATTACTTCTCACCTAGATCTTTCTGTGCTCAATAACAAGAGACAAGTTCCCCCAGATGTAGAATCATACCAAGGTGAAATGGAGCTGAACTGCACTCTGTAGGTTGCTAAGTTTCCACTGATTATAGAAAGGGGTCTAAAGATTTATCTTAGACAGGACATTTAACTATTTAAACAGCTTAAGACAGATCAGATGAGTTCTATCTCATAAACATAAGATGCTCAAGAAACAGTCTTGGGACAATAGTTTGTTTCTAAACTGCCACTTATCAGTGGGGAAAGTTGGGAAACTCCCTAGAAAGAGAATTTGGGAATGCTTTTGGTTCATATTATCTCCCTTAAACGTGACTCCACAAAAATACCCAAATAAAACAACCAACCTACAAATGGGTGTGCCTATATATACAGTGGAAAATATAACAAGTAAGTAGCTTTTTGTGCTGAATGCAGAAGAATATTTTGATCTATTTTGATCTATGAGAAGGATATAAAATCTTTATCACTCCTATACTTGTATAGTTCCGTGGCAGAGAATTCTGTATATATTGCCTATATTTCTGTCCTATATTGAAAAAAAATCTGCAATATTAATATTTTGGGTACTTTGAATCATCCACTGACCCTTTTCTTGCTAGTCTGATCCCTATAGATCTGTACAAAGCACTTTATGTCTCCTTGTCTTTTGTTAAGGAAGGCAGATGTTACAGGAGTTTTAAGGGACAAACTTTGAGACATCTGGATATGTATTTTGAAGGACTATGCAAATTTCTGGAGAGAGTCAGGAACCATACTTAAGAGCTTTTTATAATCAATAGCAATCTTCTGTCTCACCTATTTTTATTCTTCATCTTTCAGATTCTCTGCATTAAACGTATTCTTTTATTGAGAACTTCTCTGTAGTGTTACAAAACCAAATCTTGTGCCATTTAATATGTTACTCAGAGTCGACGTGTAGTGTGTGACTCCTTGCCTTTGAGAAAATTACCTCACCATCTGAAAGCATCTGAGTTTCACTGTTAGATTTCATCCTTCTAGGAGCTTCCTTCTCATCCTTGAAGGTCTCTCCAGAAGCTCTTGAACCAAGACATTTAATCTTGAGATCCTGAAGAATAGGTGGATTACAGTCTCCCCTTTCATTTGAGATTCATCTATCATTGGTGACCTGTTAATCCCCACCACCAGGAAGAGTTGATCTCCACAAATCTATTGTACATACAATTTTTTCAGACCTAGGGAAAAATGTCTTCATTTTATTATCACTGAATAGATCTACTCATCCTAAAACTGCTTCAGTTTTTTCCTTCTTGTAGTTTAGTTCACAGTTTCCTTCAGTCTACAAAGACCACCACCATGCCAAACATGCATAATTGCTCTGTATTTTTTCTTCACATTGAAGACCTCACATCATCATGCCCATCAGTTTAAATTGCTTAGCTGACTCTTTGTTATGACTCAGCTTGATTTTTGGTTCATTTATTTGAATTAAAATCCTTTTCAGAGATGTGCCATGATACCAAATTCTTCTTGACCATCCTTCTCATAATTAATTCCTCTTTCAAACTTTGAATTTATTACTAATGAGACGCGAGAATGTATTGTGAGGACTCTGCACTTATCATGAGTTCAGCCTTTAGAGCACCTTTGTGGATCAGTCAGATCAAGATTCCAACCCAAAAGCAAGCACTATAGAAACCGTTTTTCAAATGCATTCTTAAAATCGAACACGAGGCCGCTCTACACATTGTGTGGTGACTAATTTACCACGGATGTCAACAAGTGACATATTTTTCTACAAAAAAAAATAAGTAATCCTTGATTTTTGTTCCATGTATTTGTCTGCACTTTGTATATCTTTCCCAAATGCCATGAATTCCTCAGGAAACTACAACAGGGCAAAGTCTTAGTAATATTAATACCATTCACTTAGACTGTTCTAATTCTTCACTTAAATCCATACTTTTATTTTCTCACATCATTATCTTCAGTCCTGGCAATGCTGATATATCAGGACTAGTTGTGTGTCTCCATACTCACACAAGTCCTTCTTAGTTGCCACTTCCATACTTGCACGCACATATGCACTTCACACATGCCATGACAGGGCAAGTGTCTGAATTTACCAGGCTGCAGAAATTGCATTCACAAGTATTGTCATGTCAACAAGAAAATTCAGAAGGCCTAAAAAAACATCCTACACAAAGGTTTAGTTCCTTCCATCTTTTGTGACAGGGAAGCCTGTATTTCATTACCTCCTAGGTCAAAGATATATTAATCAGAAACATATAGTAGACATGAGAGCCTCAGTAATTCATATTAAAAAGAAAAAAAAAAAAAAAAACACAGAACCCCGAAAAAGCTGTGATGTTCAGTGCTCACATTGGGTAGGAACTTTGTATGCTGTAAATTACAGTATTCCTACAGAAGTCAGCACTCTCATGAAAGCTGCGATGTCATCATATGTGTCTTTAAATCTCACCTTCATAATTTTAAGAGAGTCCTAAGAACTTCCATTGTGGTGGGATACTGCATCAGACAGAGCTCTGAGATAATAATAAGTCCTTCTTTCAAAGAGGTGCCCCAATGACACCAAAGATCATAGAACATAAAAATAATCCATCTGACCAAGATAACTCCTTAAATAGAGGATAAGTAGTTCTGTGAGTAAGACACCTCACTTGCAAGGTCTGTACACAAGCCTTCATCTTTGTCCACTAGGTCCTTGCATGGTGGACCCTCTCCGTGCTTGACTCTCCTGACAGCAAGCTGAGCAACTTCAGCTGAGCATACTACACAGATACTTCTCTGCATACCTATGAAATCTTTCTTCTGGTCACCACTGCTGTTCATCCTTCAGCTCTGCTCCCATCTGTGGCTCTCAGAAACCTGCCATCTGTGGTGGCTTCTTCCCTCCTCACCACTCAACCTCATTGACCCAGTGTCCTGCACAGAACTGACTCTTGACCACGTGTGTACAATTCACCTCTCCCCAGAACTGTCCCACACTGCAACATCCAAAAATGGGTGAAAAGGCAGGCTTTCTTCCCATGGCATAGCCCCACATTTTTTTTTTAACAAATGTGCAATTAAACAAGTATTTAAGCAGCAACTTGAACAAGCAAATCAAATATTTGTACCATCTATCATCACCTACAAAGTGTACAGAGCATATATAATCTGATATACTCACTAGCAAATTCCTTTTGTGTTGCTATTTTCAGCGGTATTAGTAATTGTCTTTAAGACTGCTACAGTCGTCAGGCTGTCAAAACGGTTACTGATGCTGGTAAGATGGCAGGTAAATGAAATTCTAGATATGTATTGTCACTGAAGGACAAATATTTTTAGTCAGTAAACTATAAGAAGACCGTGCAAGGAATCATCAGAGGAATAAAATACGTCACTTTACTACAATTCATATAGGTCACCTCAATTTCAATGAATGATGACTGAAAGTGAATGGTGGAGAGAATTCAATAACCTGCCCTACCTTGTACCTACTAATGGCTCAGCAATGCCTTTCCAGTGTTATTTCCAAAAATTATTTTGCTAATAATTTATGTGCTGGCTCACAGCATATCTGACTTTCTTTTACTCCTGCTTGTGCACACCTCTCCTATGAAGACATACTGAGTTGGGGCTGTCAGCCTATAGAAGAGAAAGCTACAGGAAGACCTTATAGCAGCTTTCCAGTACCTAAAGTGAGCTCACAAGAAAGCTGAACAGGGACTTTTTGCAAGGGCATTACAGGGGGTAATGGTTTTAAACTGAAAGAGGTAGATATAGATTCTATATAAGGAAGAAATTATTTACTGTGAGGGTGGTGAGGCACTGGAACAGGTTGCCCAGAGAAGCTGTGGCTGCCCCCTCCCTGGAAGGGTTCAAGGCCAGGTTGGACGGGTCTCTGAGTAACCTGGTCTAGTGGAAGGTGTCCCTGCCCATGGCTAGGTGATCTTTAAGGACCCTTCCAACACAAACCATTCTCAGATTCTACGAGTTATTCATTTAATAGCCTGCCACAGACCCAATAGTTAAAGAAAGCACTGAACAGGGAAGGCTAACGCATCCTTATAATTAGAGGGTATAACTGCTTAAGTAGTGGTGTTTCTCTTCTTAATAATAAACCTAATGCTTCAGACATGCTACAGGAACTGAAGCACTGTGATACATTACATAGAGAGGATAGCAAGACCCTCTGGTAACATTTTCAACATGGATAAAAAAAATCTCATAAAAAGCAGTTGATTATCTATGGAGTTTAACTATTTTTTACAAAGACATTGATGTATTATGGTAGCCCTAGCAGTGTCCTTGTGTACAAAACATTTATTTAGCCCATTATATACGTCAAGCATCATGAAAACAAGTTAAAAGTGTACAAAGGAGGAAAATGATTACTTTTGCTTATTTTGTAGCCAAAAGCTGGGTCTCTTGGATCGGGTTCGTGGTACCAATACTAAAGGAAAGCTATTTACCCCTCTGAATGTAGATGCCATTGAAGAAAGTCCTTCAAAAGAGCCTAAGAATGTTGTCTTGAATAATAAGGAGCGTTTTCGCACTGCATTCCGAATGAAAGCATACGCTTTTTGGCAAAGCTCAGAAGGTAGCCCATCTGTGTTGATTTCTTTCTATCCATCTCTATTCTCCCCATTTTACTTTGTTCCTCTGCATCTTCTGTTGAAGATTCGTGACCTTCTGTGCCAAGCATGGCTAGTCCCTGGTTTTACATGGCACGTTTGGGGAAGCCCCAGGTAATGAATGCCAGAGTCCTTGCAACACACTGCTTGAAATTATGCAATGGCCCTCTATAAAACCAACAATTGATATGGGATAAAGCCAGTGGTGAAATCAACCTATTTGACCTGTAAAAAGAGGACACACTGGCGCATTGAATCTATATCCCCCCCAAAAGTACATGCCATTATGGCTTGGTTTATCAGCAGGGATGCTATGCTAAGGTAGCTCCCTCCTGGACTGCATCCAGCCCTGAACTAGCCTGTGTCCAGGCATCTCAAATACCTCCTTATGGTGGTTTCTTAAAACCTTCTTTTATAGAGTCAACAGCTGCTTCCCTCACATTCTCCCTAAGACTGCTGCCCCTCAACAGACTTCCACTGGGTGTCCATGCAACATCATAAGGCATTTTTCCTCTCAGCTTCCCTGACTACACATTTTCCTCTTCTTGCCTATAGCATCTAAATGTTTTCTAAATAACAGTTTCTCCTTTATTGTACCAGCTGGCATCAGTACGTGCCGGGCATACTACCGTGGATGTAGCCTGGGTGTCCACATCAGGAACTTGATTATTCTCTTCCATGACAGTACGTGATGCTCCACATAGTTCAAGTGGGAGGAGAACTTGGCCTGTAGCTTCTACTTCTCTTTTAGCCTTACATAATATAAATTTGGCAAAGACTTTTCACTGTAAAAACCCCTAAAAGTGGGAACTCGTAAGTCCATTGGAAAGGAAGAAAAGTTCTCAATGTTTCAGAAATGCTGGAATCTGAGAGGAGATCCCTCAAATAATGTGTCTTACAGCTGTCCCACCAGAATTATGAAATCCTTTTCAAGAGCTGACCAGAGAAAGAGGAACCAGCAAGAGATGCTCCTTTATTAAATTACACTTACTTTATGCAATGCTTTAGTCAGTCAGACCTCCCTCTAAATATTGTGTGGTCAGATGTTCATAGAGCTTTTGTTTGACCTGCTTTGCAGATGCAGGAACAGGGGAACCCATGGCAGAAGAGAGAGGCGACAGTAGCGATTTCCTTATGGAGGATATGATCCCCACTTTCAAGACAGCCATCCGAGCTGTCAGGTAAATGCTCCTCAGTGCTTTGCTTTGACTTTGAATGTTTATGCTTCAGGAAATCACATTACCGTGTTGCTTGATGTTGATTTATTGTTGCTTCTTATTGCTTTTTTAAAATACAACAGATTAGACAATGCTAGATATATTGAAAAGCACAAGAGAGGCCTTGTTTAAAGTCCTCACTGAAAATATGCAGAAAGGAAAATGTTTTTCAGTAACATTGACCATGTCATTTTTTCAACATACTCCATAAATATATTATAAAATAATATTGTATAAAGTTCTTCATTAAAATATGCCAGAAATAATCTTGCTCAATTTAGTGACTATAATATTTACGTAAAACTGAAATTTTCATTTAACAATAAACTCTGAGCTGACTCAACTCTTCTTTATTCACAACTGTATGAGTGTGCAATATACTTTTCAGCTGTCATCTTTTAATAGATGCTGAGGTCTCCATTTCAGCAGTCTTCAGCCTGTGACATGTGTCACCTCTATTTTCATATCACAAGAGATATTCCCTAGGGCTAGAAAACTGCTAGTAAGGCTTGATAATGTGTTTAGCACATCATGCACATAGAATTCATTCACTGATGCTCTGTTACTCCTCCACTCAGTATTTTTTACCCTTTTTCCTTGAGAAATGCCCCCCATAGGGAAATACTCTTCTTTCATTGTAATTGCTTTTTATTCCAGAAGTTGTTTAGTTTTGGACTAGGGAGTTACTACCTTCCAGGTGAGATACTGCAAGTCTGGAGTGCCCCAAAATTATCTTCTTAGAAAAACTTCAAGGAATATTGTTATATGTATATAAACATATACTTATATGTATATAACCATAATATATATTATCCTGGTTCTTTTCCGACTGGGTGCATGAGAACCAGTCATTAAGAATTCCAAGATTTCTCAAGACTGCTGAAAGATATGTCTCACAGGCTTTCTCATGTTTCCCATGACTGGTTCCCTCCTACTGGAAGTTTCTTCATCCCTACATCCTCCATAGTTTTCCCTTTCTTTCCCCAATACCCGCATGATTTCAGACACAGGCTATACATGTGCGCTGCTTTTCATCTCCATCTCCATCTCCATGAGACATGCCGTTATTACTTTTGCAAAATTTCCTTTCCCACATCCTATTCAAATCTAATTGGTTTATGCAATTTCCCTTTAAACTCAATCATGAATCAAGACCTTTTTTTTTTTTTCCCCTTGTATAGTTTACCCAGACCCTGGATGCTAATGGGAAGTAATTCTTTCAGACAAAACCACTTAATGGGTTTTCAGGATAATGATCAAGGATATTTTAAATCGAAATTGCTAACAGTGTGATTCCTATTTTTCATTCATCCTTTTCTTTTAAGTATATTTTTTCTGTTATCATATATAGTTTGGCTAAAATAGGCATAGGTATAATTTTGAAATCTTAAAAGATTTATAAGCAACAGAATTAAAGGGTCAAAAACCTTTAAAAAGTCATAATCTTTGCTACGTGAAAATGTATACAAATTTCAAAAAGGTTGGGAAAAAAAAAAAAAAAACAACCTTGAATAAAAAAGAGGTCAGAATCTTAGCAGATGACAGCAATTACCCAATTCAGACCAATAGAACATGGAGACTGTGCTGAGAAAGCAAACCCTCAGATCCCAAGCGTAAAACAGATTAAAGATATAAAATGCTTTTCATTCTTATATATGTTTCTTGTCTATTTGTTTAATCTACCAAGATATAACAATGTAAGCTAATATATAGAAAAGAATGAAAAAAAGAATGCCAAATAGTTTTCAAGTGCTCTGGACAGCACTGGTTCTTATTATAGGAATTCTGTTATTAATTATTAGGACATTTTATAATAATAGTAATAATAACAATAACAGCAATTATATTACTATTATCATTCTTACTGCAACAATGATAATGTTATACTGCTGTTTTTTCAAGGACACTTCAGGCAATTCTAACACTTTTTCTTTTCTCTACAACTTGAACTGCTGCTGAGTTCTTAACTTCCACATTTCTATCAAATTAACTTTCCTTATCCAAAAATTTCACAGGTGCAAAATGAAAACCAGGCTAAAAATTATTTGGCATTACATATACTATAAATTATATTTATGATAGGCTGAAGCATAAAAATAGCAGCTTCAGCTTCATAGCTTCAGAATTTTCTGTGACTTGTGTTATTCAAAAACAAATTCCACATATGATTTCGTAGTTTTGAACCATTTCTAGTTATGATGATAGTGCTGAAAAAGAAATTTTTTGCATATAGTTTCTTTTAGCCTATTAATTATTAAAAGCCAGGTATTTTATATTTACGGATATTAGAGATTCTCTGTTTATGTTTTATTGCTTTGGTTTGAAAAAACATGCTCTATTTCCAAACATTCAGAATATTTAACAATTATTTGATAAAAAAATTATGGAATTTATATAAGAACTTAATAATTTTTCTGTTTATTATGCAGAATACTACAGTTTCGTCTCTATAAAAAAAAATTCAAAGAGACATTGAGGCCTTACGATGTAAAGGATGTGATAGAGCAATACTCAGCAGGGCATCTTGATATGCTTTCCAGAATAAAATATCTTCAGGCAAGGTAAGGATCCTCTGGTAAATGGGGAAAATATGTAGCTGTGCTGGCAAAATAAAAGCGTATTTGGCCTATACAAGACAACCCAGAAGCTGTGCCTTTGCACAGCATAGCTGGGCTTTAAGAAAGTCTTTTCCCCAAAGAATAAAGGCAAGTGAGCAACTAGCAGGGGTAATTGCAGCAGAAGAGACCATTGGTCTGCACTTAGAACAAGGAAATCAGGGTAAAAAGTCCTGTGAATTTTCTTGACCATTGCTTTATTTGATTAGGGTTAAGTTTCCCGCTTTATTCCCTTTTTACAGATGATATATAAAAGCAATAGTTGCTCTACATGAGCTTTTCTTTGGGCTGGATTCTCTGCTGACCTGTGCCCGCTGGTTGTTGTGGTTCAGACTGAGAGGGCAACTGAGCACCACACACAATCACTAATGCTGATGGTCAGTTTGCTGTGTGGGCTGAGTGAACAGAGGCTTGCTTGCACCTGAGCAGTTGGATGTGTCAAATGAAAGAATATGTTGATAGAGTAAAAAAGTGTAATTAAATGTGCTAGAGCCTCCCAAACAATCCTTTTGGTTTTGTTCCAAACAAAAAGTCAAGTAGGAGTCCTTGTGAAAGTTCATTTATAGTTCTAATTTTCAAGCCAAAAAAAAAAAAATAGTAAAGATTTAAAATAAAATACGGATAATTAGGCACAATAATGGATAGAAAGTCATTGTTTTGTTAAGAGTGTAAGGAATTGACACCTTTTGTCAAATTCTGATTTCCAGTATCCAGCACAAAACCCGATGGGTCTCTCTTGACATTTTTAGGAGCAGCTGTTATTGTAGGCTTTTTTGACAATCACACTATTTAATTCCTTTGAAGGAAATGAAGTCATGTGTTCCAAATGTCAACATTTAGAAAGAGTGAGCTAGATAATTACTTAATTACCATGAAATTACCAGGTAATTACATTCAATGTATTGATTGTGGACCCTGAACAGAACAAACATGTCATGTCCCTTAATATATTACCAAATCAAAACATGCTTCCTTTTTTAATCTTTGCTACTGTTTGCTGCAGAGATGCATAGAATTTTCTATCATGTGTTAGCATTTAGAGATGGACTTATGCAGTTGCGCTTTTCTTTTTTTCAGAGTAGATATGATTTTTACACCTGGACCTCCATCTACTCCCAAGCATAAGAAATCTCAAAAGGGAGGAGCTTTTTCTTACCCTTCACAACAGTCCCCCAGGTGAATTTTTTACGCCTAGTATTCTGCACATACTGAAACAGAAATAAGAAGTTCGTTCATATCAATAAGCATGACCTTCATTCATCCAGCCAGTACACTCTTATAATAATGATATCGAGAGGATATGTTGCTACAAGATATATATGTGTAAATATTGAGCCAGAAATACACTAGCTTGCCTCAGAACAATGTATGATGGAAATCTAAACTTAATGACTTCTTCATTGTCTAGCTCATCTTCTCCACAGTTTGGAAATGTGATTTTATATGAAACACATATATTTGATTGCTGATGTGCTGAATTTCTAACATTCAACTAGTAGACCCATTTAAAAACTCAATAAAAATCATTGATAATTTAAAGGTAAACCAGTTATCTTACGGAAGTGAAAAAAGTTTCATTATAGCCCCCACCAAATGTCAAGCACAGAGTTTTAATTATGGTGCTTTTAAACCAATGATTGGTGATAATTACTGAAAATAGATTCCAATACCAGGTTTCTGGCTGTGAAAGTTACAGCATGTTATTGTATTGCTGCATTCCTGATAGCAAGAACTCAATAATAAATGACATTTCTTCTGTTATTTACAATTATCAATCTGTCAATAAATACCCATGAAGAACCACACAAGACCATCCACAATCTGTCCCCAAAGCTGTTATGGTTGCTCAGAACAAAAGTAATCTTACAAAAAATAAATTAACTTGGCTCTATCTGGTTTATTCCACCCAGCAAAAAATCTGAAAACATGTAACTGTGAAGACAGAGACCTACATATATGGAAGAGACAATGATCATTTGGGAAAACAAAGCAGATTGCAAAATTTGCATGAGCCCATGTAATCAGTAACCCAATGTGCAACATCTGACATGTTTTAGTTATAGTTTCTGCTTTAGTAAGATATATTCACAGATATATTTTGCATTTTGTCAGAAAGAGAAGAACTGGACCTGTTAAAACAAAAGTTTTAGGATATATTTGTTCTAAATCATGCTGAAGAACAAGTGCTTCGAAATTGTTTTTCTAGACTTTGGCATAGGTTATGGGAAGATAAAGATTCCTTTGAGGTTGGTTTGGAAACCTTTTGATAAAGATTTAACTTGATAATGACCCTCTTAAATCGCATGAAGTTATAAATCAAAGTTCTTTAGTTAAGCAGAGATCATCTTCTTACCACCTGAAGTTAGGCCAACTGATGGATGAGCAGTAGGAAATTACATAGAAGAAAATTTGTTCTGGAATCTACTTTAAATCTTGAGGCCAGATTGTCTCTTTCAAGCATTTCCAGTCTCTGCTACTTAGTATTTAGTTTACTGAAATTGAGAAAAAAAACCTTGGACACTCAGATTCAGTTTTCAAAGATACTAATTATAAAGAATTTAATTTAAAAACTTATGTCCATCTGTAGACCCCTTATCTAGACTATCTCAATATTTTTCACAAACCTGAAATTTTTCCAACAAATTTGAGATAAATTTTACTTTCATTTTGAACTTTTTGTTTGCTTTTGTTTTATCTTAATCTTCTTCTTAATTTTGAACCAAAATAATTTAAAATTAAAAATCAGGAATACATTTTTTACAAAATGCATTGAAATCACATAGAAAAGATTTCTGCTTCTTTTTGTATGATAAATAACTAAAGTAAATATTTTCTGAAATGGAGCTCCAAGGAGCTATATGAATATACCACTAAGAAGATAATTCTGTTTTCTGATATAAATTACTTACTGTGATGCAAAGAAAATGTGAACACTAATAGAGTTATTAATTCTTTATAGAAATGATCCATATGTAGCCAAAGCATCTACAGCAGATACTGAAGACCAAAGTATGATGGGCAAATTTGTTAAAGTTGAACGACAGGTATGTAATTTCATGACAATGGTGGAGGCTGAGGTGCTTGTACAGAAATGATAAAGCTGACATAAATTCTGTACGAGTCTTTGGCTGACCCAGACAGATTTGTACTGTTGGTGATCAAGACTCACACAGATCTCATACTTACAATCACAAGACTATGCTGTTAGTTTTTCATGGAATAATTTAATTAACTGGAAAGTGCATTTTGAAACCTGTTGAATGAATATCATTATATATGGCAACAAGACTCTAACCTTGATGTTTAGATGAGACTTTTTAATTCCTTTAAACTCCATAATGTCTGGTGTTTTGTTGTGAGCACCGCCTTGTTTTTCAGGGTCTAGCACTCAAAAAGTTTGCCTCCACAGGTATTTTGGGGCTCTGTTTGCACATCCTAACCTATCACTTAACAAGTCAAGACACTCTCATTTTTAAATACATGACTAAGATGGATGCAAGTGGCATTGATTCACATCAATTTCTTTCATGGAACGTAAATGTTCAGGCACAAAATACTATCGAAAGAGAAAGGAAATTATTCCTGATATTTGACCCTGTTATTGTGGGACTTTAGAGAATAGGTCTGTATGCAAAGGCAATTCTGTTGTATATTGGTACTAGCTATTTACAGCATGGTATTATGACTTTGGTCATAACATTGTACACTGCTGTTGGATGCTGGACTGTCAAATACCCAGCAACACTAAGAGTTTTTTGACACAGTTCATAAGGGCATAAGCAGTTAAAGGATAAGCTGGAAGTCCCAGCAGTCCAGGTTCCAACAGAATGTCATGATTATCTTGTAATTACCTTCATGACCAATAAAGATAGCAGCACACCATTGCTGGGACATGTATGGAAGTACTGACTCTGTTATTGAACTGACTTGAAACAATATCATAACATTGGTATTTTTCAGGTTAATGACATGGGGAAGAAACTGGATTTTCTTGTTGATATGCATATGCATCATATGGAACAGCTGCAAATACAAGTCGCTGAGATAAGTCCATTGAAAGAAACTGCTTCTCCTGCAAAGGAGAAGAGAGAAGAAAACAAATATTCTGAATTGAAAACAATAATATATAAATACACTGAGCAATGTGCTCATGAAACTCCTTACAACTTCCAGCAGGTTCCAGTCAACAAAGTCAGTCCCTATGGTTTCTCAGCACACGGTCATACAACTCATTCACAACCTTTATCAATAGGTGGGCAAAACTCTGGCAAACTGCAAGCCACACCTTCCTCAACTTCATATGCAGAAAGGCCAACAGTTTTGCCTATATTTACATTAATGGACTCCCAGGTTAGCTACCACTCTCAAGGAGACCTACAAAGCCCTTACTCAGATAAGGTGTCTCCAAGGCAGAGAAGGAGCTTAACAAGAGACAGTGATACTCCATTATCCCTTCTTTCCGTCAACCATGAGGAACTTGAGCGCTCCCCGAGTGGTTTCAGTATCTCCCAAGACAGAGACGACTTCCCATTTGGCCCCAATGGGGGGTCGGCATGGATGAGAGAGAAACGCTACCTAGCAGAGGGGGAAACGGACACAGACACCGACCCTTTTACACCAAGTGGCTCCATGCCTTTGTCTTCTACAGGAGATGGGATTTCAGATTCAATATGGACCCCTTCAAATAAGCCAGTTTAAAAGTGTGTGTGGGGGCAGTCACTGGTTGACTTCTCCGTGTAATGTAAGCATACTTTGTATATCTCACTTACTCTACACCCAAAGCTTACTAGTTCAAAACACCAATGGCTGCATAAGATGCATGTGATATTAGTGGTAGTCATTCTGCACCATTTCATACAATTTACTAATGCAGTTTTTTTCATGCTACCAAAACTAAGGAGCTTAGTTTTGAGCATGGTTTGCATGACTTTACCCTATATAAATGGTACAGCTGATTTCTTCTATGATACATATCTATCTGATACTCTTCAATACAACAATAGTGAATTGATAAAAGGCAAGATATGGTGGTCCTTGCTACATTTTGTAAACAGAGCAGCAAAGTAAAAATATTTTCAGGAGCTATATCCCTTTATGAAAACATTACATCTGAATCCATTTTCCAATATAAGTAAATCAATCTCTAACCGACTTAGACAAGAACATCTAATATTCAAAGCAGGGAAAAATCTGAGTGAAAGTAAATGACCTTACTGAAATGTTTTTGTGAACTAAATGTTTCTCATGTGATCTCTTATACCCATAAAATGCAATGTCAAAATGAAATTAAGAGTAGAATTTAAAATTATCAAAGCCACCTCCTGGGATTGATCGTGGGTATTTATTTATTGTAAAATGTAAATATAAATCCCTCCGACTACTTTGAAAATCTTCACTACTGCTTATAAAATTACTCAAAGCATGAATACAATGCTATTTTGTAGAAAACTTTTTGCTAAACCCATTTGCTACTTCTGGGGCCAAATTTTCTTTCTGTTCCAAAAATACAGTGGTTCAGTGTAGGGAACTCCAGGTTTATACACTCCACTCTTTTATTGACTTTTGTGCTGCTAAGTAAGCTGCATAATGTAACTGTGCCTCAGTTTCCCTGTCTGTTAATTGGGAGTTATACTTGCATACATATACACAGGTTGTAAGGCTTAATTCACTGATATTTGCCACGCACTTTGAGCTCCTCAGATGTGCAGAGAATTGTTATTGTGTTCCCTAAGAATTCCACAATGTGGGATGCCACCAGGATCTGTTTCTCTCTGTTTACTGTTTCTCTTGAAAATGGACTGTTCCAAATCCTTGAATGTCTGCCATATTTAATATCAATGTACTAATACATAAATACCATTTTTTTTTCACCTGTCAGGGGATAAGCATGCTCCCTAGGCTTGAGCCAAATATTTTTCATGGGAATTGGAAATTATGTTGAGGGAGAACAGGAAAACAATCCAACTCTCTGGGAACAGGGCAGAAATGAAACAAAAATCTCACCACTACAGTGGAAATGTAGTGTCTATACAGCTAGTGAAACTAACCTGTCCAAATATCCTATGCAGGATTCATCTGGTGTCAACAGCATAGCATCCATTGAATGTCAAGTTCGATGGCTATGCATTCTTTACAGCTAGTGGAAAATTAATCAGTACAGTGAGCACGGGGTGCAAGAACCAAGGCACACATCAGCTTTAGGATGAGATTACTCTCATCTTTAACTCAATTATCTACAGTGACCAAATTTCTACCAACTTTAGATGGAGCAGAGGGTGGCTTGCTTAAATGTCAGGTGATCAGAGACACCCATAGTCAGTGGGAAGGCGCTCAGGCCTACCCCACTGATCCAAGGTGCAGCCCCTCTACAATGGCTCATGCCCACCTCCTGTTGAGAATGAACCCTGTCACTCCACACAATGACCTCACCACCATGGCTAGAGCACTGACCAACAAAGACACAAGGATTTGGCCCAGGTATGATGTTAGAAAGTGGACTTTCTGTAGTGACTGCTTGTATTATACTGCAGTGGCACAACTGAGCATCCTTGGCACATGCAATCAGAGCACAAGAAAGACATACACTTTACTGGGCATCCCATTATTTACTGGGTATTGAACAGGCTTGGATAGAGTGTGCTTCAATGGAAGATACTGTGTTGGGTTTTGCCCACAGTAATAAACTTCATGTTTACTTCCTCAGTATTGTGGACTTCTCATAACAGTCATTCCTCCCAGGGATCTTCTATTCTCTTCCACATGTAGGCATTGCCTTAATCTTCATTGTTTATTCTCTATTTAGAGAGACATCTAAAGGATTAGGATCTCCTTATTTCATCTGCTATTTCAGCTAAATTGTGATACATCTTTCCGGGACAGGACTTCAGGGAGGACAAATTGCTGTAGTTACTTGAGTAAATAATGAAGACCAGTTACAGCCTTTGAAGACTGGCCTGAGTCCATGGAGCTGTTCTGAGACCAGTAATTATGATGACATGAAGCATAGATTTAGTAATTACTTAATTGACAAAATATCCGCTGACCTGAAAGATAATCTGTGTTTGGTGCAGTTTCATGGCTAAATTTTAAGAGAATAAAACTAGCTGACAGAAGTGTAATTCATTATAATTTGGCATATTGAGAAGAATTCTTTGGCCATCAGTGTTTCTTGGAAATACTTGTATTGCACCTGCTGCAAGCTTTCTGATACAGAAATGCATGCCTGTGGCAAGATTTAACCCTTATGCAACAAAAGAATGATAAAGAGTGAAAATTGATTTTAACATTGCTAGACTTCTGAAGTTGGTTTAAGTATATGCTAGAGAAGCCTGCTTCACTTTTCTTATATGTCAAGTGCCTGGCATTCCTGCTGATTTCATTTGAGTTTGTCCCTTCTTAAAATGCTTTCTAGATCTGAGCAATCAAAAATCAAGCCAGCCAAAAACCAAGTGCAATCTGAGAAATTTGTTTGTGAATGTCTTTGACCCTGGCTATGCCATGCAGTTCCCTGCCCAATTCCCCCTCAAATTCTTCAGTTCAGGTTTCTAATTTCTCCCATGCCTGGTCATGTAAAGGGAATATTTTCTCAGTATTAAACCTGGCTGAAAACCCATAAATCACCTCATTATAAATGTCTGTTTATTCCAAGAGAAAATCCAAGCGAGGGGAGAGACTTGGATAAGTCTTGACTGGCACACAGAGTGCAGCCTCAGAGAAAGTGGGATTTGGGCTGCCCTGCGCTGTGTACACTTAGCAGCTGAACTGCCTTCAAGTTAATATTTTTTATGGGCTTTAAGCACCAGTTTACTATATGCAGTGTAAAAGCACCAGGTCATGTATTTGTAACCACATTATGAAATATTTAATGTACTAACTGAACAGATAAGGTCTGCCTCTTCTTAAAAGGCATTGGTGGTAAGCAGGACTTTCTGCAGTGGACATCTCTGGATCCTCAGGAAGAGACCCAAGAAGAGGGTCAAGGAAGGTCTCATTAGCTTATTTTAATGCTTATTTTTTCTAACACACTTCTTTGCACCGTAACAAGTGACTTTTCTGTTCAGAAGGGTGATGTGCTTAGCAGCTCTCTGTCTTCTACATCATCTGTATTAAAAATAGGGTGTGCATCAGTTCTGCTGTCTGTGCCAACAACAGATACATGCCAAGATGTCACCAGCAAGGTGAGATCTGGAGACCATCCCTGATCTGGGATTTGCACACAAACTTCATCAGACTCCAGTTCAGGATCAGACCAGGGAGTGCATCAAAAATAAAGGTACCTGTGATTATTGACCCTAGCAACATTTAGATGGTCAGTACCTGCTTTGCAGAATAATTTCACCATAGACAAGGAATCCTTATTCACACTTTCACTTGACTGAGGCACCTGCATCAATAGCACCTGTCATACGAGGAATGGATTAGATATATCCCTTCCTCCATTTGTGTGTGACATTCAGTTTAACAGCTATCAGTTCTGTGTCTGACCTTCCTAGCATCTAGAATGAAACTGACACTTTGTTTGCATATCATTAACATTAAATTAACCATTGGGATCCACTCTTTGCTGACTCCTAACTCCTACAAGTGACCAAGGGTTCATTTCAGGACTTGAGATATTTTTCATAAGTAGGTGTGGGGATTTCCTCTGCTCTCCTTGAAATCGGTAAGAAGCCTTCTCAAACATGCACAGGGAGCAGGACTGGGTCCTAATCTGCCTTTATTTATGAATTTCCTTGTAAAAGACAGGGTTGATCTGGAGACGTTTTTCTTAGCTCCATTTTTACACTGATTTTTCAGTCACTAACAACACACGTCTGAAAGTTTTTGAAAAGGTGAATCTGTGTTTACATGGTGTGGCTTTCTTTGCATCATTATTATCAATCAAGCTTCCTCACCTTAGATTCAAGCTGAGAAGAACTCTTTAAGGCAGAAGTGAATGTTTAGTTAAATTATACAGGTATAGAAAATGTGGTTTATGTTCCACTTAAGGAGTTGGTCCTTTAAATAAAAAATCTAGTCAGGTAATGGCTATTGTCCTTGCCTTGGATTTTCCCTGCACTGAATTAATCAGTCCAGCTCCTATCAAAATAAAAGGGAAGTCAGCATGTGGAGAGATTGATTGGAAAGTCCCTAAACTTTGGCTCTATTTGCTCTGTTTTTATCTGTAACTTTGCTGCATTGTTATGGTTCAGAGAGGAAATAGTTTTAAATTTTTCTGCTTCAAATTGTGACCCAGCAGCACCTTAGACTAATTCCCACCTGAACCCACGTGTAGCAGGACTGCTGACTTGTGGCCTTCAGGCAAGCACAGTGGTCCAATCAGTTTGCAAGATCACAGCCTAAATCAATCAGAAAATGCAGATTAAGGAGTAAATTCAGGCCTCCTGGGAGCCCCATTGTTGCAGGGGTGTTACATCTGCTTATGGAAGAACCGAATGTGTCCTGCTTAGTGCAGAGCATGTGGGAAAGCTGGATCTTGATTCCATGCACCCCACAGCCCCCACCTCTAAGCTTTAGGTGCCTGAGAGCTGCAAACCTAAATTTTCTACAGCACCTCACTAATTTGCTGTAATACCACTTTTTCAGGAGCCCATCTGAATGTGGGTGTTCACTTTTGAAGACCATTTTCAGAGGTGCAGAGAAGAAGGGGCCATTTTCAAGTGGTTTTAGCTGGGCACTAAGGATGAAGATCCTGGGTATGACTATTGCTTCTGATTGTTTAGGCTGTAAGATTTGATCCTTCCCAATTCAGCTTTTAGTAGCTTCCCTCTGAAGTTAAGTGAAGCAAAGTAGTAGAAGTGGGATCCTACTTCCATCCTCAACAATATGCTGAGACTGAAGGTTACATAGCCAATTGCATTTTGTTTTCTAGTTATAGCATCTTATTATTACTAGTATTTGTGCCTTGCTCACTAAAATTTTCTCCATGCTACAAAGATGCTTTTCAGATTCTGGCTGACAAGGGAACACAACTTTTATACAAGTGGCCTTTAGTGCTCTTTATAATATTATTTATTGTAATTTTTAAACTGTATGTGTAATTTATATTCTGGCACTGTCCAATATTTGAACAACTTTAATATGTTTATTTCAATATATTATGCAAACAATACTTCTTAACTGATTTTTTATGTTCTGTCTTTAAAAACTGCACCACTTATTAATAAATAGAAATTTCAATTATGATGTGGAGGATTTTATTTTCATTTATATCGTGATAGCTTCACACATATTCAGAGAACACCATGTCAAGTGTACCCCCAGCAAGGACATCAGTATGGACGTTTTGATCATCTATGCAGGACTGAACTTGTAGCTACAAGTAAGCTTTATCTGGCTTCCACAGCTAGTCTTGTTATAACACACAGTAGAGCCCATTATTTGTGACTTCTTTTGATTTAGTAACCATGTAACTTATGTGGTTTTGGTCACACGTGTGTGTGTGAAAATGAAAAATAGTGAAAAATACATTCGTATTAGAGATATTAATGTGCTAAAAAATTATGAGGTTGCACATAAAACATATAGAGAATGTAGTAATGGCAGGAGGCTGCTCTGAATATTCTCTGCAGGGATTTTAACAACTAGCAAAAGTTGGGTTGGGAATTCATTTGCCTAAATTCTGCCCCTGGTTCTGTTGCTGTGTGTCTGTGTGCTCTTGGCCTTGCATCTTCAGCTGTCCATCCATATTCCTGATGCGTAAAATCACCAGAAGGCTGTTCACTTGCCTCCCAGTAACATTGTCAATCAGTATGAACTATTTAAAATATATTGCTCTCTTGCACAAGTAGGAGGCTGTTACTGAGGAAAGTTCATCCGAAGCATCTTTTCTAAGAACAGTTCTGTCTGTAGTTTTGGCTGGGGCTTAGCATTGTAATAGTATTTTAAAATATGTTTATATTTTATATTTTTTTTCTCCTAGCTGCTGGTTTGTAAATTGTCATGGCTTCTTGGAAGAGGCACAGACTGTGCATGCACATGTGCACAACCCAATTTGGTTGGCTCACAGAATTGCAGGAGGATTGGTGTGTGTGGAAGGAGAGGGATGTTGTAGAGCCTGTCTGTCTGAGCAGATCTGATTTCTCTCAGTGATAACAGTCGTGTAACAGTTCAATATCAAGTCGAAGATGTCAGTTTCTGTTCTTGTTAGACCCCTTTTGCAAAGAGTAGAGGCAAATGAGCACTTTTCAGAGTATGGTCCAGTCAGTCCTACATCAATTGACCCAGACTGTCTCTATCAGATGATGCCTGTCTCTAACTGGCATCTTTCTTAACTATAGAGTAAAAATGACCAGCTTGGACAAAAATGTATCTTTCAGATTGCTAAACAAGATGAGATGAATCCCATCCTATCAGTTCAGACAAAAGGCTGAAGGGAAATTGCCCTGAATGAGACAGGAAGAGAGCATGTGAAACATCACATCTTCCCAAAAATACCACTGGACCCAGTGAGATATTTTTAAGGCATTCCCTGTGGCTTCAGCTTCATGATTGTCACCAAGGAACCAGCTCTGTTCAACAATTAAAATGCAACCTAAAGAAATGTTTCTTAAATTTTTGTGGTAAGTAAAAAATTATTCAACAGTTTTCCAGTTTCTTATCCCACTTCTATATCCCTGTAAATTGGGAACAATTAAAAAAAATCCTGTAGTAGTACAACATCCAGTTGTGGTCGTTTGGGATATTTTTTTTGTGTGTGGCTTAGTTTTGGTTTTGATTTGGTGTTTTGTTTGTTTTTTTTTTTTTTTAATGGACCTATTTAAATAGGATCAATGTCAGGTTTTATAGCCAAGTTCTAGCATTTCTTTCCAAATATCAACAGTACTTTTTTAAACTAATGCACCAGAATTTAGCATTTCATGAATTCTTGTGAGATTCTTTTTTAATCTCTTGTGTTCAGTTTTCTACACAGCTCTAAGGACTACGTACAACACTAGCATTTTCTTTATTCCCTACATTTCTTTTCAGGCAAACACAAAGGTACTTCAAATCTACTGACATCCTTTTATAGACAATATTACCACACATTATCATTACTGATTTAGCAGTCAATGTCCCAGTTTGAACTGAGCAGCAACTGCACAGCAGAATTCTTGTGCACAGAAAAGCAGACAGCCACGGCAATGACATTTAAACAAGTATTTCACAGACACAATAGGTGACTCACTCAGCTTTTGTTCACCTGAACTGAAATATACTGCATTAAAATTTCTCCTTGGCTGTCACCCAAATACATAAGCATGCCAAATCACTCAATTTCAGTAGCACGCTGGGTCTGATCTTTTAAGAAATGGATTCTAAAATGGGAACAAGACGTGATACCTATCCTCAGGCAAAACCCTGTTTACATTCAGGGAGTTTTCCCCTCCTTCAGGCTCTGCTTACATCTGTACAGGACCGCTGAGGTCATGTATAAATGTTGCCTGCCTGAGCAGAGTAAGACTAAGACCTAACAGTTTAGAAAAGGTAAATATCGATGCATCCAGTATGGCAGAAGCAACAGTGTCAGGAGTGGAAGTTTCTCAGTGTATCTTTTTCTTCTCAGGATGCTTTGATTTTCAAGACTTTCCAGAGTCTTGAAAACTAGCCCAGATAAAATGGTCTCTTGATTAACAGGATGCATCATTGGCACAGAACACCAGGAGAGGTAGGCTTTCTTTAAAGGAATTACCCTCTAAGATGAATATTTCAGGCATATGGTCCTGATGGCTGGTAGCCTGGTGAGCTTGCGACAGCACTACAGTTCCTCTCCTGCTTCCTTGTGTCAGATGCAGATGGTCAGAAGTATATATACCAGGGATCATGAAAAAAAGGAGGAGATATAAGATGTGCTATGAAAGTTTTGACAAATTTGATGGGACCAGTTATGTGTCTGACACATATCATATCAGAAATAGCAACGTGGATAAATCACTAAATATTTTCCAAGTTCTGGACTGCTGCAACATCTCTGTATCTAATCAAAGTTACATGAGTCTCTAGATTTACAAATGTGGAGTGCTTGATCACTAACTATTATTTTTAGAAGCCCCAAAGGAGCAGTGTAAGGTATTGCACAGGTCTGTAAAAAAGTCACGATGTGTATATAACACTCAAAGAAGAAAACAAAACCATCAGGAGTGTACCACAGATAAATTGGTTTTGAGATTTGGTATACTCTCTGCAGTTCCCTTTTTGTTTTATAGACAGGAAAACAGAGCCATGCAGTCACTGAGACAGCAGTCATGCTCACTGATTTTCTGGAGAAATATTTACACTATGGATGAATGTTTGGTGGCACAGCTCTGCAGACAGGTTATTGCAATGGCTTTGTTCTTTTCAAGACTGTCCAGTAAGTAAATATGTTTTGCTTTACCAGCTCAGCCAGCTCATCTGCCTCTGCTTTAATTTTTCTTGTCACGACATGCCAACAACAATGTTGAGGAATAGAGTAGACCCCAGCTACTCGGTTCTTATGTACTTGATGTATCTTCGACTGGGGACAAGTAACGGCAGTCTTCAGCTGATGAAATGCTGGGTATCCCTGGTGTAGAAAATTTGGCCCATTTAAACATGTGAAATAAAGTTCTTGTGATAGAAAAAAAAAAAAGTGGTTCTGAGAAGCACAATCTTTCTCATTTTCCAGCTGAGGTGAGTTTCTGACAAGGAACATAGCAAAAGCATCTCATAGTTCTTTCCACATCAGCTGTGAAAATATTGTCACTACATACTTCCACAATTTCTATGCGTCCTTTTTTTCCTTTCTCTCTCCTTTTCTTCTCTTCCTTAAGAATGTGCTTGAATTCACCAAAGTTTTACAATGTCAGACACTTTAAAGAAAAGCGTTCACTACTTTAGACAAATAAATACACAAAACATTCTTACTGGAAACAGTCAACCTGAATGTCTGTGGAATTTAGTGCTCATTCTTTTCAGGAGGTTCTGTGGTGTTAGTATCAATCTTGGGAAAATATTAATAAGAAAGATTAAAGAAAAAATGATATAAGGGAGAGGATTCATTTGCAATTCTGAATAAATTTACTGAAATGGGAAAGTTTTATGAACAGGAGTAAATAAATATGTATATATAAAAATATATACTTGAGATGCGACAAGATTAAGTGCCAGGTCCTGCACTTGGGTCACAACAACCCCAGGTAATGCTGCAGGCTTGGGGCAGAGTGGCTGGAGCTGCCTGGCAGAAAAGGACCTGGGGGTGTTGGACAACAGCCAGCTGAATATGAGCCGGCAGTGTGCCCAGGTGGCCAAGAAAGACAATGGCATCCTGGCTTGTATCAGAAATAGTGTGGCCAGCAGGACTGGGGAGGTCATTGTCTCCCTGTACTTGGCACTGGTGAGGCCCCACCTCGAATACTGTGTTCAGTTTGGGGCCCTTCACTACAAGAAAGATGCTGAGGTGCTGGAGCTTGTCCAGAGAAGGACAAAAAAGCTGGTGAAGGGTCTGGAGAACAAGTCTTATGAAAAGCAGCTGAGGGAACTGGGGTTGTTTAACCTGGAGAAAAGGAGGCTCAGGGGAGACCTTGTTGCTTTCTACAACTACCTAAAAGAAGGCTGTAGCAGGGTGGGTGTTGGTCTCTTTTCCCAGGTAACAAGTGATAGTACAAGAGGAAATGACCTCAAGTTGAACCAGGGGAGATTTAGATTGGATATTAGGAAAAAATTCTTCACCAAAAGGGCATTGGAAGAGGCTGCCCAGGGAAGTGGTTGAGCCACTGTCCCTGAAGGTATTTAAAAGACATGTAGATGTCGTGCTTTTGGACATGGTTTAGTGGTGGGCTTGGCAGTGGTTGGCCTTAATGATCTTAAAGGTTTTTCCAATCTAAATAATTCTATGATTTTATATATAGTTCTTCTTTTAAGAGATGAGATTTGGTTAATTCTTCTAAAAGAAGAGTAACAAAGAAACATTATTACACTTAGAGAATTGTCCTTAATGAAATTTGTGCAAAAATAAATAAAATATAATTAGAAGTATATTGCTAACATCTGAAGTGAAATTCAGATGAAAAGAAAGTTTATAGAGCTAGTATATTTCTTAATAAAATAAACTAAATATCTTGTAAATCTGTAATAACAGAGGACTAAAAGAGAAATGTTGACTTGATATCAGGCTTTTTCAGAAAAAAGGATGCAATTTTCAGAGTTATTACTTTTCTAAACAAAGTTGATTAAACAATTACTCA